TAGTTCACACATAACTAGACCGAGAGAAGTGCACTTTGGACGGGGTAAATTTAGCCCTGGCTGCGGTTACCCTCGGAGGTCTGCTGGTCACTCTGGTCCGCTCAACGTCGGACTTTTTTTTTTTACTTTCGCACTAACTCTGTAAACAGGCCACACAGGGAGGCTTCAATGTATAATGTTATCGCCTCAAACGATTTCAAAACGTACTTTTGAGGAACAACAGCAGCAGAAAAGGGAATGTTTAACTTAACACTGTGAGCGCTGTCTGGAATCAAGCTGCGGCCGCGGGGCATTCTGGGGAAGCGGTCAGTCTGAAGAACGCACAAGTCTGCTCTGATGCATGCTCGATAAAGAGGGCGGGGCGAGAACAACATCCGGGGATTTGATGCGTTCTCGATCTGGCGTTCTCGAGAATTGGAACGGTACTCGGGCTGAGGCTGATGACGTGTCACGAGTACAAGAGCACACGAGAACGCTCAAGAACGCACATTGAGAAACGCCCTTTCATTTTTTTGAAGTGCAGCCATTTTTTTAAAATGCCACCTACCTTCATCCTTTGTAAAAATTATTCTCTCCATCTTCCATTTTGATTCTGATACTTTCTCATCTGGTAATGTTATACCTAATAAAGTAATGCCAATATTCATGAGACAACAGCATTACAGGATTTCTGTGACGCTTGGATCGTTGATCAGCAGATAGTGATTTCCGTGATGAACCAACCAGCATCAGTTATTGGGGATGTGTTGCTCGGCTGTGATTACCGGAGATGATTTTAGTGGCGCTACACCCGTTTACACCATGGCAGCCATAATTGAGAATGAAGTCAAACGACAACCCGTTTCAGAAAGAAAGCTTGGAGCTCCGCCCAGCAGATGACGGCCGACCAGCTCCACCAATCAGCAACCAGAGTCCACTTTGACATCCTGCCCAGTTTGATGCTGCTGCTAAAAGATTTCCTGATTCTTCAAACCGATGCTAAAGTAGAACTTCACATGATGCTCCACATTCCTCACTTTAGGGAAGAAAGGGATTCTGGGAAGAGTTCTCATAAAATACAACTTTATTCTCATATTATTACGACTTTATTCTCGAAATCAAAAAATAAATCTCTAGCCTGGCCCTATTACTCCGTCGTCGTTATTCAGTGTCTTTTAAGGGAAAAATAAGGGGCTAATTTTTTCCTTTTTTCATCCATTAACAAAAATAAAAGTTACAAACTATGTATTTAGATTGTCAGTTAAAACATTTGCCAGCAAACTAAATATTAATTTTCCATACTAAATATTTATTATTTAAACGAAATAATCATTTAACAAACTAAATACTTAGTTTGCTATTATTCTGGAGCTAAATATTTCTTATTTTAATTAAATTCGTTTTATTTTTACACCTAAACTGAAAGTTTTCCAAAGAACAAACTGGAGCTTATAGACTGGCAGATTTTATTTGTCATTCTGTTTACAAAAGTGTAAAACAAAGAAATTCCGTTTGGAACAGCTGTCTGGACAATTTCATCTTTTTAAAAGTGCAGCCTTGAAAAATAGCAAATATATATATATATATATATATATATATATATATATATATATATATATATATATATATATATATATATATATATATATATATATATATATAAACAGAAATATAAACATATGACTGTAAATTTACAGTTCTAACATTTTATATATATATATATATGATGAAATATAATAAAACACAATACAATAACCCATCTATAGAATTAATAGAACCCATAATAATAGCTTCATCTGTAGCTACTGACGGCTAGCGTTTAGCTTCATCCGTAGCTGCTGAAGGCTAGCCTTTAGCTTCATCTGTAGCTGCTGAAGGCTAGCCTTTAGCTTCATCTGTAGCTGCTGACGGCTAGCCTTTAGCTTCATCTGTAGCTGCTGACGGCTAGCCTTTAGCTTAATCTGTAGCCGCTAAAGGCTAGCCTTTAGCTTCATCTGTAGCTGCTGACGGCTAGCCTTTAGCTTCATCTGTAGCCGCTAAAGGCTAGCCTTTAGCTTCATCCGTAGCTGCTGAAGGCTAGCCTTTAGCTTCATCTGTAGCTGCTGAAGACTCACCTAAAACAGCCTCAGTCCCCAGCGAGGCAAAGTGCTTCCTGACGGCCTGGAAACAGAGGCTCTGTAAACGGATCTTCCTCTCTCTGGCCTCCATGGATAGATAATCCAGGAGCTCTTCATATTCAGAGCTAATGCTAATGCTAATGCATCTTCTTCCTCTTCCTCTTCCTTCTTCTTCTTCTGAGGATCAGCTCAGTGCTGCGGTGCTGCCACCATCGGTCAGCAGTGACTGTATTTAACCATTATTAGGCCTAAGGTGACATGGGGAATACCGTAAGTCACAGAGATCTGAAATTTGGTACATAGGTAGCTCTCTTTAAATCATGAAAAAAAGTGCCTTGGAGGTATGCCCTAAAACCCACAGGAAGTCGGCCATTTTGGGTGAAAGTGCGATTTTTGTCCATTTTTCATTTTCGCTCATGTCTAACTCCTCCCAGGGATTATGAGATATCGACTTCAAACTCAGTCATTATGCAGTTAAGGAACAAAGCTGTTAAAGGGCTATTGTTCCAATAACTGATCAGCAAAGATCATGCGCGTCCCCGCGGGGGGAGGAGCTTGTTTGCAGCGAGAGGGAGCATGAATCAAACACAATTAATTCAATTCTATTCAGTCTATTTCTATAGCTCCAATTCACATCATGTCATCTCAGGTCACTTTCCAGTTCACCAGATCATCCAGTCAGATTGATTCAAAGTTTTCTATCTAAGGAAAACCAGCTGATTGCATCGACTCATTGACTCTTCAGCAATCCCTCACACTAAGCATGCTTGTAGCGACAGTGGAGAGGAAAAACTGCCTTTGAACAGGAAGAAACCTCCAGCAGAACCAGGCTCAGTGAGAGCGGCCATCTGCTGAGGCCCACTGGGGTTCAAGGAGACAGAAGCAGACATAGAAAAAGAAGCATAGATACAAAAGGCAACTGTCAACCAGCTCCACAGGCGGCCCCGTCCAGGAAACACACAGCCAGGCAGACGAGCTCCGAGCCAGCTCCCATGTCAGAGGATGAAGAGAGCACATCCAGTTAGTCACAGTCAGAGAAACAGGACTACACTGGAAAACAGGCCAAGCTCCAACATCTAGAAACAAAGGTGTTGATGGCAGCAGCACAGCTAATATTTCTCTCCAGGATGGAGTCACAGCCAAACAGGAACAGACCAGATGAAGCTACTATGAGAAAAAGCAGAGAGAGCAGAACGTTAGAGATTGAACTAACAGATTCTGCAGAGTGGGAGAATAGAGATAGAATGAAGCAGAATGATGAAAAAGGGGTCCCTATGTCCTCCAGCAGTCTAAGCCTATAGCAGCAGAACTATAGAGATAGCTCAGGATAACCTGAGCCACTCTAACTAGAAGCTTTATCAAAAAGGAAAGTTTTAAGCCTAGCCTTAAAAGTAGACAGGGTGTCTGCCTCACGGACTAAAACTGGTAGTTGGTTCCACAGGAGAGGAGCCTGAGAACTAAAAGATCTGCCTCCCATTCTACTTTTAGAAATTCTAGGAACCACTAGTAAACCTGCAGATTGAGAGCGAAGTGCTCTGTTAGGAACATAAGGAACAATCAGATCTCTGATATCAGATGGAGCTTGGCCATTTAAGGCTTTATATGTGAGAAGGAGGATTTTAAATTCTATTCTGGATTTAACAGGAAGCCAATGAAGAGAAGCCAGGATAGGAGAGATATGATCTCTCTTTTTCATTTCCATCAGAACTCTGGCTGCAGCATTTTGGATCAGCTGAAGGCTTTTAACTACAGTTTGTGGACTTCCTGATAGTAAAGAATTACAATAGTCCAGCCTTGAAGTAACAAATGCATGGACTAGTTTCTCAGCATCACCCCTGGACAGATTTCTAATTTTTGCAATGTTCCTCAGATGAAAGAAGGATATTCTAGAAACCTCTTTGATATGGGATTTAAATGACAGGTCCTGATCAAAAACAACACCAAGATTTTTTACTTTATTATCTGAAATCAGTTTAATCCCATCCAAATGAAGTGACTGGCTAATCAGTTTCTTTTTCAGAGACTCTGGTCCAAAGACTATAACTTCTGTTTTGTCTGCATTCAGAAGCAGAAAGTTAAGAGTCATCCAGGTTTTTATGTCTTCAGACATGCCTGTAATCTATGTAATGGGTTAGCTTCATCTGGATTTATAGACAGATATAGCTGGGTATCATCAGCATAACAGTGGAAATTAATCCCATGCTGTCTAATAATTCTACCAATTGGGAGCATGTATAAAGTAAAGAGAATTGGTCCTAGCACTGATCCCTGTGGTACTCCACAGGTAACAGTTTTGTTTATATGGAGGACCAGCTCTACCATATTTAAAAATAAATAAATGCTCAATAAATAAATAAGCATACAATTAATTGCCCCCCAAAATAAAGTAAACAAATAAATGTAGATAGAAATTAAATTATACAGTGAGACATAAATGTATATATCTCTTTTAATTAGCTTCTTTGTCTTTCACCTTTGTAATAATTACCTTATTTATTGTCAGTTATAATCTTCAACTATATTCATTTATTACTTATGTTTTTAAGTATTTATTGTTGTACATGTTATATATTTGTCTGGTTTATTCTTCCTTTTTAATTTTTAACCCTATTTATTTCTGCCTCATTATGCAAATGAGGAGGGGGCGTGTCTTAGAGGGACACCTGCTGATTTGTTGGCGGCTCTTCTTTTTATCTCACAGACCTCAGAGGATTAAAACTACCTTGATAATTAGATCAGGCAACTTAGTCATTTTTTTCAAAATTTATTTTATGGCCATCTCTTAAAAACTAATTTCTGAAATTATCAAATGTGGATATTTATTTTAACTAATAACTACAGAAGTGCTCACAGTCTAAAGTAAATGCAAATTTTAAATTTTTGACCTTAAAGCTCCTTCAAAAAGAGAAACTCTTTGTTAATGTTTTTTTTTTTAAGAATTTATCGGTTGACACTTAAGTTTCAGGTTTTTTCTTCTCATATCTGCCGTTGGCAGTTTGTACGAATGACTAGATGTTTTTTTCCCCTGGGTCTCTCTGTCATACCTTTAATTCTAAATATATTTACTTATGATCTGTAAAATTTACAGACTTGATAAACACCTAATGTCATGTATCATATAAAAAGGTATAATTTGGCCCAAAAAAAGACTGCTGAGGTTTTCGTGGATTTTCACGCCAGTAGCAGCGAAGCTCACTTTGGTAAAAAACAAAAAAAATAAACCATAGCAATAATTTCAGAGGTTTTTTTCTGGCCTACATCCGTCTTCATCAATGACTTTTTGGGTTATTATTATTTTTTCTTACATTCAGTTTTTTATCCAATCAATTCACTCATTTAACCAGTTTCTGTCCTGCAAGGTTAAAAATATTTAACAAAATTCATTTTTACGTGCATCCATTCTCTAGCTTGAAGCTACAGAACAGCAGATAAACAACCAGAGCGCCGAGCAGCAAAGCAACTGGACCAGTTTACCCAGATTTCTGCGTTTGCACGTTTTTGACGCCTAAAACGCTTCTGATGTGACCCTCGCATTAGCCAGCCACTGTGAGCAGCTCCGGAGGCGGCCACTAGAGGGCGAAATAAAAAGGCCTTCAGATCAATAAGCAATCAATCAGATATCAGACGAAACAATCATGAGTTTATTTTCACCACTTTTTATTAAACAACAGGAAAAAAAAGAGGCTATAATACAATAAATAAAACTATCTACAGCAGCTTTAGAGCAGAGTGGGCGGGGCCTTTTTATGCCACGCCCTTCTGGTTCTCATGGGAGCGCTGATGGAAGACAAAGGAGACGGCGCTGTCCCAGGACGCCTTCAGCACCTGGTCCCTCAGTCCCTTCTTGTCAGAGCAGTGGTTCCACTGGGAGAGGTCACTGGTGCAGTCGGTTCCTTCCGGAGGCGGCCGGACCTCTCTGCCGTTGACGCAGCGGCGGCAGTGAAACCTGCAAACAGGAAGGAGGTCCGTCAGAATAGACTAAGCCACGGTCTGGTACCAGCATCTGTCCCATAAACCATCTCTGCTCTGTGGCGATCCGGCTTCAACCGTTGTTCTTACTTGTCGTGCGTGTCGCTGTGGGTTTCCTCGCTGAGGGTGAAGAGTTCGCGAAGCTGTCCCAGGGAAAAGTGGCGCTCCACGTCCTGCTCCTCGTCCACCACGCAGCTGCTCAGCGCTTTCTTATGGGCCTGTCTCTGCAGGATCTTCTCCTCGATGGTCCCCGTCTGCCAGAAAACAAACATCCATCATCTGCAGAAGGTCCCGGTCTACCACACCTGCCACCATGAAGAGTCTTCCTCACAGAGATCAGTCTGTAGACGTAGCAGGTCTTCTTCTGGCCGTCTCTCCACACCCGGGCCATGGCCTGCTCGTCGTTGGCTGGGTTCCAGTCGGGGTCAAACATGACCAGGCGGTTGGCGCCGATCAGATTGAGGCCACACCCCCCCGCCTTGCTGCTCAGCATGAAGATGAACTCGGGGTTCTGTGGGACACAAACGTCAGGCTTCAGCTCCGCCTCCCAGCTTCAAAGCAAACCTGTCCTCCAGACTCACATGTGGACTGTTGAAGGTCTCCACCACCTTGGCCCTTTTCTTGATGGACATGGTTCCGTCCAGTCGGACATAGAGGTACCTGAAACAGACCCGAGCCGCTTTGGTTAACAGATGCCATTCCATCAGAACCAGCAGAGACCTTCCCTCAGTTCACCTTCTGAAGCGGCACAGCTTCTCAAACAGGTCAAGGGTTTGGGTGTAGTTGGACACCAGAACCACCTTATCACTGGTGGTGGATTTGGTCACCGCCAGGATGTAGTCCAGAACCAGCATCTTACCTGGACCAGAGGACAGGATCAAATGGGAGCAGAACAGTCATTTTAGAACCCGACCAGAGCTGTGACCCAGAAACGCCCACAGCTGGCTGGATCCGGAACCAGTCCTAAAACCATCTACCTGCTGCCAAGCTAACTGGAAATGATCTAACCCACGCATCTCCAAGGTGAGTCCTGGAGGTTCCTCTGTTTCAGCACAGCTGATTCTGATGATTGACGTTCAGCTGAAGCCTGTTAATCAGCTGCTGCAGCAGGAAACCTGTAAAGCCTCCAGGACAGCGGCCCCCAGGGGCCCACTATGGGGCCTGATCTAACCGGTCTGCTACGGTTAGAAACTAGACCAGTTAGGGACCAGAGCGGTCCAACCCGTAACCAGTCCCTAATCCGACCGCCCTCCAACCGGTCCGGTCCGCCCTTTTAACCGGTCCGGTCCGCCCTTATAACCGGTCCGGTCCGCCCTCTAACCGGTTCGGTCCGCCCTCTAACCGGTCCGGTCCGCCCTTATAACCGGTCCGGTCCGCCCTTATAACCGGTCCGGTCCGCCCTCTAACCGGTCCGGTCCGCCCTTATAACCGGTCCGGTCCGCCCTCTAACCGGTCCGGTCCGCCCCCTAACCGGTCCGGTCCGCCCCCTAACCGGTCCGGTCCTCCCTCTAACCGGTCCGATCCGCCCTGTAACCGGTCCGATCCGCCCTGTAACCGGTCCGATCCGCCGGTCCCGTCCGCCCTCTAACCGGTCCCGTCCGCCCTCTAACCGGTCCCGTCTGCCCTCTAACCGGTCCGGGCCGCCCTCTAACCGGTCCGATCCGCCCTCTAACCGGTCCGATCCGCCCTCTAACCGGTGCGATCAGATCCGCCCTCTAACCGGTCCGGGCCGCCCTCTAACCGGTGCGATCAGATCCGCCCTCTAACCGGTCCGGGCCGCCCTCTAACCGGTCCCATCCGCCCTCCAACCGGTCCCATCCGCCCTCCAACCGGTCCCATCCGCCCTCCAACCGGTCCCATCCGCCCCCTAACCGGTCCCATCCGCCCTTTAATGATCTGCCCTCTAACCGGTCTAACCGGTCCCATCCGCCCTCCAACCGGTCCGATTTGCCCTCCAACCATCCGCCCTCCAACCGGTCCCGTCCGCCCTCTAACCGGTCCGGTCCGCCCTCTAACCGGTCCGGTCCGCCCTCTCACCGGTCCGGTCCGCCCTTATAACCGGTCCGGTCCGCCCTCTAACCGGTCCGGTCCGCCCCCTAACCGGTCCGGTCCTCCCTCTAACCGGTCCGGTCCTCCCTCTAACCGGTCCGATCCGCCCTGTAAGCGGTCCGATCCGCCGGTCCGGTCCGCCCTCTAACCGGTCCCGTCCGCCCTCTAACCGGTCCCGTCCGCCCTCTAACCGGTCCCGTCCGCCCTCTAACCGGTCCGGGCCGCCCTCTAACCGGTCCGGGCCGCCCTCTAACCGGTCCGGGCCGCCCTCTAACCGGTCCGGGCCGCCCTCTAACCGGTCCGGGCCGCCCTCTAACCGGTCCGGGCCGCCCTCTAACCGGTCCGGGCCGCCCTCTAACCGGTCCGATCCGCCCTCTAACCGGTCCGATCCGCCCTCTAACCGGTCCGATCCGCCCTCTAACCGGTGCGATCAGATCCGCCCTCTAACCGGTGCGATCAGATCCGCCCTCTAACCGGTCCGGGCCGCCCTCTAACCGGTCCGGGCCGCCCTCTAACCGGTCCGGGCCGCCCTCTAACCGGTCCGGTCTCTAACCGGTCCGGTCCGCCCTCTAACCGGTCCGATCCGCCCTCTAACCGGTCCGATCCGCCCTCTAACCGGTGCGATCAGATCCGCCCTCTAACCGGTCCGGGCCGCCCTCTAACCGGTCCGGGCCGCCCTCTAACCGGTCCGGTCCGCCCTCTAACCGGTCCAATCCGCCCTCTAACCAGTCCGATCCGCCCTCTAACCAGTCCGATCCGCCCTCCAACCAGTCCGATCCGCCCTCTAACCGGTCCGGGCCGCCCTCTAACCGGTCCGGGCCGCCCTCTAACCGGTCCGGGCCGCCCTCTAACCGGTCCGGTCCGCCCTCTAACCGGTCCGATCCGCCCTCTAACCAGTCCGATCCGCCCTCTAACCAGTCCGATCCGCCCTCCAACCAGTCCGATCCGCCCTCTAACCGGTCCGGTCCGCCCTCTAACCGGTCCAGCTCATGTTTTCATACCTCTCCATCCAGCAGGTCCTTACCAGACAGCTGAGGTTCTAGCGCCTTGCTGCTGAATCCAGGAGGAAACAGGTCCAGCGCCCCCTCAAAGCCCTCCTCCTCCTCCACACACTTCTCATAAATGAGGCTGGGGTCTGGGAGGAGAGAAGCAGCCATCAGACCAGTAGACCCCCCCTCCCCCTGTGGGGTGAGCTGATGGTCATGGAGGTGAGGTTAAAGGTCATCTGTTAGCGGCTGCTCTTACGATTGCACAGCTTCTTGAGCGAGGTGATGGAGGACAGCGAGGAGACGCTGATCTTCCCTTCCTGGAGCTTCTCTGTGGGCTTGGCCTGCTTCAGGAAGCGCCTGTAGAGCTCCGTCTGCAGAGGAGTCAGCCTGAACACAGGAAGCTTTCATCAGAACGCTGGAGGAAGGATCCCTGGGAATCCTCCCAGAAGGAGAGAACACGTCCAGCAGGTGGATCCGTAACATACCAACCTCTGAGATCACCTCATCCTCCAACTGATTTATAAACCATCAGAAACACATTTTATTCCCAGGTAGAGCAGAAAGGAGCCACCTCACCTGCAGCAGACCACCTGCTCGATCTTCACAGGGAGATACTTGGAGAGGATGTCAGACGTCCTCCTGATCAGACACCTGTGGAGAAGCACCAGCTCAGTGTGAGACGGGATGGAAGCTCAGCTCTGAGCCAACGTCTCACCACATGGTGACCATGATGCTAACACTGCCTTCCTGTGGTCAGGGGTCCCTTCTTTAACCCCCCATCCAGCAGCCGCAGCGCAGACAGTCTTTCTGCACACAAGGCCCCAGTTTTAGCCGTTTGGTTCCTTTAAGGCAGACGTCCCCAAAGTGGGTCCCTGAGGGCCGCTGACCTGCAGGTTTTAGAGGTTTCCTGCTCCAGCACAGCTGGTTTTTATTAAAAACTGATTAACAGGCTGTGCTAAAGCAGGGAAACCAACTACCAGTTTTAGTCCGTGAGGCAGACACCCTGTCTACTTTTAAGGCTAGGCTTAAAACTTTCCTTTTTGATAAAGCTTCTAGTTAGAGTGGCTCAGGTTATCCTGATCTATCTCTATAGTTCTGCTGCTATAGGCTTAGACTGCTGGAGGACATAGGGAGCCCTTTTTCATCATTCTGCTTCATTCTATCTCTATTCTCCCACTCTGCAGAATCTGTTAGTTCAATCTCTAACGTTCTGCTCTCTCTGCTTTTTCTCATAGTAGCTTCATCTGGTCTGTTCCTGTTTGGCTGGGACTCCATCCTGGAGAGAAATATCAGCTGTGCTGCTGCCATCAACACCTTTGTTTCTAGATGTTGGAGCTTGGCCTGTTTTCCAGTGTAGTCCTGTTTCTCTGACTGTGACTAACTGGATGTGCTCTCTTCATCCTCTGACATGGGAGCTGGCTCGGAGCTCGTCTGCCTGGCTGTGTGTTTCCTGGACGGGGCCGCCTGTGGAGCTGGTTGACAGTTGCCTTTTGTATCTATGCTTCTTTTTCTATGTCTGCTTCTGTCTCCTTGAACCCCAGTGGGCCTCAGCAGATGGCCGCTCACACTGAGCCTGGTTCTGCTGGAGGTTTCTTCCTGTTCAAAGGGAGTTTTTCCTCTCCACTGTCGCTACAAGCATGCTTAGTGTGAGGGATTGCTGAAGAGTCAATGAGTCGATGCAATCAGCTGGTTTTCCTTAGATAGAAAACTTGGAATCAATCTGACTGGATGATCTAGATCTATAAAGTGCCTAGAGATGACTTGTGTTGGATGTTGGCACTATAGAAATAAAGTGAATAGAATGAGGTGAACGTCTGAACCAACCTGTTGACGATGCCAATGAGCTCCTTCAGTTTCTCCTCTCCTTCCTGCCGGTCTCGGTTGCTGGCGTCTGCATCTCTCCCCTTCAGGATGGGCAGCTCGAAGCGCTTCTTAAACTCCTGGGCGGTGCCTGCCGTGAGTGACAGTGAGCATGGGGAGGCGGGCCGACCCGCGTGGCGGCGCGGTGGCGCTGCAGCTTACCCAGGATTCCGGCGTTTACAAAGTGGACCAGACTGAAGTACTCCAGGAGGTCGTTCTGGATGGGTGTGCCTGAGATCAGCACCCTCCGCTGGGCGTCCATTGCATTCAGAGCTTGGTAGGTCTGGTTGTCGGCATTCTTCAGTCGGTGACCCTGGAGGCAGACAGAAAACTTTTCCTTCACTTTTCCAGACGACTCACCGTCGCCACAATGAGGCGGAACCAACTGCACCTCGTCACAGATCACCAGTCCAGCTTTCCCTTTGTGCAGGACGTCGGCGTGAAGTCGGAACGTCTCGTAGGAAATGATCAGGATGGGTGTGGGTGCCCTCGATCCACGCTGGGAGGTGAAGTTAACTGGGAACCAGTAAAACAGATCAGCTTCAAAAGCTCCCAGTTTCATTTCTAATAATAAACGATGAGCAAATTATTCTAATTCACATCGACAACCTGAATCTGATTACTGGGATTATTCACTATTAGAAACTCCCTGCTTCCTGTAAGCCATGTTAACAACCCGGCGTCTGCAGGTCCCTCCTAGCTGCAGCGCCGGGTTCCCGACTACCAACGCCTCACCCAGAAGCCAGATACCTAGCTTCCTATCGATCTCCTCCTTCGAGCCGCCATCGATGGCTAAGGGCGAAAGGCGACCTCCCAGCCACTTTGCCACTTCGTTGTACCAGTTCCGAACCAGGCTCGACGGCGACACGACGATGGCTTTATCGATCTCTGGCGTAGCATCGGGACTTTGGCGCAGTAAGGTCCACATGAGAGCGATGCACTGCAAAGTCTTTCCCAGGCCCATCTCGTCGGCCATGATGCAGCCGTACGATCCGGGGATGCGTCTGCCGGTCACGCACTCCCACAGGAACTTCACGCCCTGAACACATCAAAGGGTGGAGAAAAATAAAACACTTTCACACCGCAGACCACGCCAGATTTAAATAAACTACTGAATCCGTTTCATTTATTGCCTTCAAATATGCCTGATTTTATTGACGGGGTAACATCTGCCTCAGACAATGTGACCCATTCTAAAAGTTAGAATTCTACATTAAACCAGGGAGCCAGCTTCCTGTTACTAGAGCTGCAGAGAAGATTCTGGAAAAATAGCTGCAGTAGGCTCTGGATTCTAACCACTAGGCCCCCACTCCACCTTATTATTTATCTTTTAGGTTTGTCTGTGTGTGTGTGTGTGGGGTGGGTGGGGGACGGGATTTGGTTAATTATAGACCTATATCCAATCTTCCTTTCTTATCCAAAATTCTTGAGAAAGTAGTTGCCAAACAAGTTTGCGATCACTAATGAACTTTTTGAAGAGTTTCAGTCTGGCTTTAGAGCTCATCATAGCACTGAAACAGCTCTGGTGAAAGTCACTAATGATATTCTCATGGCCTCAGATAATGGACTTGTATCTGTGCTCGTCCTGTTGGATCTTAGTGCTGCATTTGATACAGTTGATCATAATATTCTTTTAGAAAGACTTGAATATTTTGTTGGAATTAAAGGAACAGCACTAGACTGGTTTAAATCTGATCTATCTGATCGAATTCAGTTTGTTCATGTTAATGATAGATCTTCAACACGCTCAAAGGTTACCTGTGGAGTACCACAGGGATCAGTGCTAGGACCAATTCTCTTTACTTTATACATGCTCCCAATTGGTAGAATTATTAGACAGCATGGGATTAATTTCCACTGTTATGCTGATGATACCCAGCTATATCTGTCTATAAATCCAGATGAAGCTAACCCATTACATAGATTACAGGCATGTCTTGAAGACATAAAAACCTGGATGACTCTTAACTTTCTGCTTCTGAATGCAGACAAAACAGAAGTTATAGTCTTTGGACCAGAGTCTCTGAAAAAGAAACTGATTAGCCAGTCACTTCATTTGGATTAAACTGATTTGCTGTTATTTTTGATCATTTAATCCCATATTTTAAAGAGGTTTCCAGAGTTTCCTCCTTTCATCTGGGCAGGCAGTGATGCTGGACAGGACAGGCGTACCTCTCTCTGATGGGGACGGAGAACTTTTCCCAATACTGGATCCACCACAACGTGGACCGGGAGCTTCTCTCTGGAAGACAGGAGTCATTCTGATTATTCTCCTGCTGCTTTCATACATCCATCAGATCTGAGCTCGTTTAGTCGGCCTGCTCTCCTCCCCGGTGGGATTCAAACCTACTTGTCAGCTTTGATCAGCTCATGAGCGCTGAGAGCCGGAGGCTCATAAAGAACCAAAGCATCTTCTGCGAAGGGATCATGGAGCGCCTTCCTAACTCCTGCATGTCTCAGACCAAGTGCTCTGCTTCCCAGTGGACCTGTGGGAGCAAACCTCGTCATTCTCCATCACCAGACCTGGATCTCAGCTCAGACTGTAGGCTGAACTCACCTGAGTAGTTGGGAATAGGAACTTTAAAGGGCTTGGAGAGAATATTCCGAATAAAGGCCTCCTGCAAAACACACAAGGTTTCCTAGTGAGTGCAGTCGTGGAAAGCTTGATTGTTCAGAGAGGTCAAGCAATTGCTTACAGGGGCCTGGTTCTGTGTCTGCGCCGCTACGCTAGCTGGCTGTGGACGGACCAGCCCGGTCCAGGAGGTCCGTCACAGGCCAGCTAGCAGCTAGCGGAGCTGTGGCTAACAAGCACACGTCGGCTGCGTAGAAATATTTCAACCATGATGGCCGTAGAGCGTAGAGCAGGAGGAGGAAGCTCCGCCCTGATCCGTCTCAGTCTGAAAGCCCGGCGGCGGCGGCAGGGATCCTTCCTGCACCTCTTAAAGGGGTCATGGGTGAAAACAAGGATGCTGCCGATCAGAGGCAGCGGATCGGGGGTCGGGTTACGCAATAAAACCCCATTTTATCTAGGATGCACATCTGGTTCAAAATTAAACACATTTAACAAAATCTAAAAATAAAGGAGACTAGAATCAGAAATGATTAGAACACTAATCTGTTAGCCTTTACTTTTTCCTAGTGGTGTCATGAGATGAGCCGAGGCTTCGAGGCGCGTCGAATGATAGGTTAGGGGAGGGGCCAAAACGTCTGAAGCCTCTCTGCTGTGACACCATGTGACCGCTTCAGGAAGTGCTTCAGACTGGAGGAGAGCTGCTGTCAGTTAGATAGAGTTTATAGATTCTAAGAATAGATTGGTTGTTTTTTTTCAACCAATCTAGTTAAAATTATTTTAGTTAGATTAAACAAAGTAATGATCAGAATCTGAGCGAGCCGCTGGTTACAGATGTAACATTAGTTAAAGTAGTATTACTTTCAGAAGAATAGACAGTGGCGGCAGCTATAAGACACGGAGTCCTAATCCTTAGGTTGTCGGTTCAAAAACCACCTCAGACTTTTGAAAGTTGCAATAAAATTAACAAGTATTTCAGCTCATGTGACTAATTAGTATTGGTTGCCCTAATATAAATATCGATCGGGTAAAAACACAGCTAAATTAGACTGGCTGGTTTAACCAAAAGATTGGTTGATCACATAACGTCCAACACCATTAAAACCAACAACTCTGTCATTTTTATTCAAAAATAATATTTTTTCCAAACATCTTTCACTTTGCTCATCACTGAGCATCATTTTGCACAAACACTTTCACTGACTGCTTGAGCTTATTTCACTAAAATGCCAGAAAAACAGTGAACCTTTTGAGAACGGTGAATATCGGGCTGAGTTCACAAAGTTCTCGCTCTCCGCTCATCCCATACCGCTCACTGCTTTCTATATGAAGACATTTTGCAACAACTTTTAAAAAAAGCCCAAAACTCTGCAGGCAGCTGTTTGGACGGCTCAGTGACCGAACTACGGTCCATTTCATAGTTAAGTTATCTAAACTGGAACTTTGACTATTCAGAAGTCAGATGTGTGACACTTTAAATGAGATATTTAAAATACATTTTGACTTTCCAAAATGTGATTGTAGATATCTAGAATTGTTATTTTCACTAATATAATTTCAGATATCTTTAATAATCATTCAGGATAGTCTAAACTTTTACTTTGATATCTTAAAAGTAATTACAGATAGTCAGAAGAAGTTGATTTTATGATAAAACTGCCTGCCATAGTGGTGGCATCCCTACTTACATGTTTGTCTGCTTCCACAGGCCAGTTGATGATGGGTCTGAGCGGCTTCCTGTGGGGAGAAACATGGATCTCTCTCAGCTCCTCCAACCTCCTCCTCTTCTCCTGGGAGAAAAAAAACACACAGTCATTTCTACAGAACCAGGCAGCTCCTAAAACGGACCAGATCAGACCGGCCCGGACCGTTGGCAGGGATCAGACCGGCCCAACAGTGGTGCCTCGAGAAATGTTTAATGGGTGGGGGGTCAGATTGGGCCACTGACACTAAAAGCCATAATTTCAGGGTTTGCATCGTGTTTACTACAGTAGTAAACCTGTCTGTAGAAATCAGAAAGACTTCAGTAACACCTCCTCAGATCCTGGTTTATTGGCTGATTTTTTTTAATGTTGCTGGCTGCGCAGAATGGGAGGAAATGCTAAACCGATGCTGATACAATTTATCCTGGACAGTGGGACAGCCAGTGGGGTCCCAGTGGGACAGCCAGTGGGGCAGCCAGTGGGGTCCCAGTGGGACAGCCAGTGGGGCAGCCAGTGGGGTCCCAGTGGGACAGCCAGTGGGGCAGCCAGTGGGGTCAAAGTGGGACAGCCAGTGGGGCAGCCAGTGGGGTCAAAGTGGGACAGCCAGTGGGGCAGCCAGTGGGGTCCCAGTGGGACAGCCAGTGGGGTCCCAGTGGGACAGCCAGTGGGGTCCCAGTGGGACAGCCAGTGGGGTCAAAGTGGGGCAGCCAGTGGGGTCCCAGTGGGGCAGCCAGTGGGGTCAAAGTTGGGCAGCCAGTGGGACAGCCAGTGGGGTTAAAGTAGGACAGCCAGTGGGGTCCCAGTGGGGCAGCCAGTGGGGTCCCAGTGGGACAGCCAGTGGGACAGCCAGTGGGGTTAAAGTAGGACAGCCAGTGGGGTCCCAGTGGGGCAGCCAGTGGGGTCCCAGTGGGACAGCCAGTGGGGTTAAAGTAGGACAGCCAGTGGGGTCAAAGTGGGGCAGCCAGTGGGGTCCCAGTGGGGCAGCCAGTGGGGTCCCAGTGGGGCAGCCAGTGGGGTCAAAGTGGGGCAGCCAGTGGGGTCCCAGTGGGACAGCCAGTGGGGTCCCAGTGGGGCAGCCAGTGGGGTCCCAGTGGGGCAGCCAGTGGGGTCCCAGTGGGGCAGCTAGTGGGGTCCCAGTGGGACAGCCAGTGGGGTCCCAGTGGGGCAGCCAGTGGGGTCCCAGTGGGACAGCCAGTGGGGTTAAAGTAGGACAGCCAGTGGGGTCAAAGTGGGGCAGCCAGTGGGGTCCCAGTGGGGCAGCCAGTGGGGTCCCAGTGGGGCAGCCAGTGGGGTCAAAGTGGGGCAGCCAGTGGGGTCCCAGTGGGACAGCCAGTGGGGTCCCAGTGGGGCAGCCAGTGGGGTCCCAGTGGGGCAGCCAGTGGGGTCCCAGTGGGACAGCCAGTGGGGTCCCAGTGGGACAGCCAGTGGGGTCCCAGTGGGGCAGCCAGTGGGGTCCCAGTGGGGCAGCTAGTGGGGTCCCAGTGGGGCAGCCAGTGGGGTCCCAGTGGGACAGCCAGTGGGGTCCCAGTGGGGCAGCCAGTGGGGTCCCAGTGGGACAGCCAGTGGGGCAGCCAGTGGGGCAGCCAGTGGGGTCCCAGTGGGACAGCCAGTGGGGCAGCCAGTGGGGCAGCCAGTGGGGTCCCAGTGGGACAGCCAGTGGGGCAGCCAGTGGGGTTAAAGTAGGACAGCCAGTGGGGTCCCAGTGGGGCAGCCAGTGGGGTCAAAGTGGGGCAGCCAGTGGGGTCCCAGTGGGACAGCCAGTGGGGTCCCAGTGGGACAGCCAGTGGGGTCAAAGTGGGGCAGCCAGTGGGGTCCCAGTGGGACAGCCAGTGGGGTCAAAGTGGGGCAGCCAGTGGGGTCCCAGTGGGACAGCCAGTGGGGCAGCCAGTGGGGTTAAAGTAGGACAGCCAGTGGGGTCCCAGTGGGGCAGCCAGTGGGGTCAAAGTGGGGCAGCCAGTGGGGTCCCAGTGGGACAGCCAGTGGGGTCCCAGTGGGACAGCCAGTGGGGTCAAAGTGGGGCAGCCAGTGGGGTCCCAGTGGGACAGCCAGTGGGGTCAAAGTTGGGCAGCCAGTGGGGTCCCAGTGGGACAGCCAGTGGGACAGCCAGTGGGGTTAAAGTAGGACAGCCAGTGGGGTCCCAGTGGGGCAGCCAGTGGGGTCCCAGTGGGGCAGCCAGTGGGGTCAAAGTGGGGCAGCCAGTGGGGTCCCAGTGGGGCAGCCAGTGGGGTCCCAGTGGGGCAGCCAGTGGGGTCAAAGTGGGGCAGCCAGTGGGGTCCCAGTGGGACAGCCAGTGGGGTCCCAGTGGGGCAGCCAGTGGGGTCCCAGTGGGGCAGCCAGTGGGGTCCCAGTGGGACAGCCAGTGGGGTCCCAGTGGGACAGCCAGTGGGGTCCCAGTGGGACAGCCAGTGGGGTCCCAGTGGGGCAGCCAGTGGGGTCCCAGTGGGGCAGCTAGTGGGGTCCCAGTGGGACAGCCAGTGGGGTCCCAGTGGGGCAGCCAGTGGGGTCCCAGTGGGGCAGCCAGTGGGGTCAAAGTGGGGCAGCCAGTGGGGTCCCAGTGGGACAGCCAGTGGGGTCCCAGTGGGGCAGCCAGTGGGGTCCCAGTGGGACAGCCAGTGGGGTCCCAGTGGGACAGCCAGTGGGGTCAAAGTGGGGCAGCCAGTGGGGTCCCAGTGGGACAGCCAGTGGGGTCAAAGTTGGGCAGCCAGTGGGGTCCCAGTGGGACAGCCAGTGGGACAGCCAGTGGGGTTAAAGTAGGACAGCCAGTGGGGTCCCAGTGGGGCAGCCAGTGGGGTCCCAGTGGGGCAGCCAGTGGGGTCAAAGTGGGGCAGCCAGTGGGGTCCCAGTGGGGCAGCCAGTGGGGTCCCAGTGGGGCAGCCAGTGGGGTCAAAGTGGGGCAGCCAGTGGGGTCCCAGTGGGACAGCCAGTGGGGTCCCAGTGGGGCAGCCAGTGGGGTCCCAGTGGGGCAGCCAGTGGGGTCCCAGTGGGACAGCCAGTGGGGTCCCAGTGGGACAGCCAGTGGGGTCCCAGTGGGACAGCCAGTGGGGTCCCAGTGGGGCAGCCAGTGGGGTCCCAGTGGGGCAGCTAGTGGGGTCCCAGTGGGACAGCCAGTGGGGTCCCAGTGGGGCAGCCAGTGGGGTCCCAGTGGGGCAGCCAGTGGGGTCAAAGTGGGGCAGCCAGTGGGGTCCCAGTGGGACAGCCAGTGGGGTCCCAGTGGGGCAGCCAGTGGGGTCCCAGTGGCCACCCCCCAACATCTGAAAGGAGAGTCAGATGGCAGGTAAAGGTTCTGATCCGAGTCAGAGCCATAAATGGCAGAACAGACTCGGGTCCATGAGGATGTTTGGTGACAGCCTCTGCTGCACCATAGGGCCCTTAAGCTGCGCCATCACAGGTCCTCCTCCTCGGTCTGATCCCACAGCTGCAGAGTGGATCAGAACCACCTGCTGGACAGCAGACCCACTACTTCTTATCCTGTAGTACATGGAAGTACTTCATCTGGTGGTTCTGGTCTGCCTGCAGGTCCATAAAGACTCTGATGACCTCCAGAACCTGCTGGACCGACCCGGTGTTTCACCACTAACGCCCAAGGGGGCGGTTAGTCCGCTCCGATAGAACCGGACCCGGACCGGAACCTTTCCAGCAGCATCTTACGGTGCTTCCAGGCGGGCCGCCGTCCTCTCCGGCCGCTCTGCGTTTAGCCAGCTGACTGGGGGCCAGGCTCCTCCTCTGCGGAACAACAACACACCGAGTCAGAACCAGCCGAACAGAACCGAGCAGGCACCAGAACCTGGGCTGGTTTTTACCATTTCCGCGGCTTCCTCTGGGGGTCAGAAAGCTGCCATGACGGTGTCGGTTAGACTCAAACCGGTACCAGCAGCCCGGCTCCCACTGCCGTCCGAACTTGCGCTAAATGTTGAATAAGGGAGCAGTACGGTAAGCGAGAAGGGTCACATCAACTCCACATTATTGTTTCAGCGCCACCTACTGGCCGGGAGGAGCAGTGACACGCCAACAGACCTATGACGTTATCCATAGACACACACTGGTAGCCTCTTGGTAGACGCCATTGGACGCTAGCCTACGTGCCTAGAGGGCGGCCATCTTGGATCAGACCAGCTGCTGTCAGAATGATAATATTACAATAATCTCTGACACGTTACAACCACTTAAAAAAACAAATTCTAAAATTTTATTCAGATTACAAACTATTTAAACTGAACTCAAACTGGATGAGATATATGCAGAGTTATATATTTGCAATTAAATATTTAAATTATAAACAGTTTTATATTAATATATTATAAGATATTTTACAAATATTACATATTTATATACTATATCATGATTATTCAATATTTTTAAGGATTGCTCTTTGATGATTATTATGATCTATGGAGAAACATTTGTTGTAATGTAGTTTACAAAAGAGAGTAAAGTTAAGTTGGTTTTTTACAGATTTAATTCTATGTTAATATTTATGTATTTTTTGTCATAGTCAAGACTGTTTTGTCAAAAATAGTGAATGGTAAATTTATGTTGTGTCTGTTTTTTTAAATCATTTATTCATTTGTGAACATTTGATCTTTAATATATATATTAATGATAATGAATAATGATAAAAAACAAAACAAAACATAGTTTGAAAAAAGAGCTTTGGACAAAAAAAAGGACAAACGGCCATTAGTTAGACACAACATAAATGGACCAAGGATCCAGTCCAGGCAGTGCGGGTCCTTGGAGGACACAGCCTCTGAATTCAAACACGCCCATTTTCACCATAGATCTATCCTGGTCTGGGTTAGAAGCTTTACCTTCTGCAGATGTTTCCTGTGAACGTCTGAAAAAAAGTTTACACAAAGATGAGCATTTAAAAAGTTGTGAAAAAATGTCAATATCTACTCATAATTATTAACTTAATTTATGTTAATATCATGTTAAGTTTTAGAATAAATCTAGGCAGCATTTAAACATTTTAGAGTTTTATTATATTATTTGTCAGTCAGTTGGTTTAAGTACCCCCCCCCCCCCCTCCATTTAAGACAAAGGCTGCGGTGAGAGTACATTTCTTTAATAAAGCATATTTTACAAAATCTCTGAATGATGATCTGAAATGTATTTTTCTCCAGGAGAAAACCAGAGATCGCTCCCCCTGCTGGCTCACGACGTAACAACACGTTCACGCTGCAGGGCTTCTATGAGAAATTCACTGAAGGCGTTTTACAAACAGGACAGTAAAATACAGGATCAGGTTTCAAAATTAAGTCTTCCATCCACAAACTTCTGCAAAAACAACCAACTGAAAACAGAATAATGAGGACACCTGGCGGCCATCTTGTTCTACTGCAGCCATGGGATCAAGGAGTTACGCAGAGATGGGCAGGAAGAAGGCAGCCAAGCTTTAGGAAAGGTCAAACAAACGTCGTCTTCTGCTTTATAAACTACAAACAGCTGCACCTCGTTGTTCAGAAGTCCCAAAAAGTGGAGAATAAAAACAGCAAAGAGGCCTTTTAAAATGCTTCTCATCTAAAGAGTTCAGCAGAGGGACTGCTCACGCTGAGCGAGCACCATCAGGAGCAGAAAGATCCTGAGTAGATCTACAGGAATGTGTTCCATGAAGCTGGACGTCAGGAATCTGTGGCTCTGCTGAGAAGTTAATAGTTTCTTTGGGAAGCTGAGAGACTCGTCTAAACCTTCAAACTAAGACGGAAAACCAAGAATAAAGGACCTCTGATATGTTTACAGCATAAAAAAAGCAACATAAACCATCCTAGTCTTCCAGCGAAGGACTGAGGAGCTCAGAGCCATGAGAGAGCGTTTGATCAGGTTAAGGCCGGGCATACACTCTACCATATTTTCAATAGTTGTATTCAGCTACATCTAAAACTGTCCTTCCACTGTGCGACCCCACGCTGTGATGCGATCTACCTGCTCACACTGTACATCCAGAAGCCACGTGTCGGACTCAGCGTCCAGAGATGGCGCTGGGCGGACTCGTCAATCTGGAAGAAGAAGAAGAACTCCTTTATTTGCACACGCGCAGTGCTCGAGGTTCTGCTAAATCGTTCCTAGCTCTGCTTCAACTGCAGGATTTGCCTACAAACACCTCAGGAGAGCCGACTAAATTTCAAACATTCCGAAAAATTTAAAAATCAAACCTCTGGACTTTGTTTCCTGTTTGAAGACGTTTCTCTTCCATCCAGGAAGATTTTTAAATTCAAAATGTCAGAAATAGCGTTTAGTTCCAGGTTTTATCCAGCAGCCCAACAAAGCCTGGTTTTAGTTTAGAAAACATGCAAATAGAAACGGATGAACGGGTCCCCCCCTTTGGAATGGGGGTCGTTTGGCTTCTTAGTTAGCCTGCAATGCTAAGCTCCAACCTTCAGAATTATGAAACACTTTTTATAAAACAGCAAGTGTTGGTTTCTAAAAATCATTAGAGGAAAGAGCTTTCAGAGGAGCAGCTCAGGAACGCTTCAGTCCAGGCTCTGGTTCACCTGGACTGGTTCGCCTAGTTTATAAAGTTTTATAAAACTTTTACAATAAATAAGATTTATCCGTTTTTTTTCTCTGATTTAATAAAACGTGGGACAGCAGCTGCAGTACCGCCCCCCGCCCTGAAGGAGGAGCTGGTTGGGTCGGGTCACAGCTGCTCTACTGAGAGGACATCTAAAGATGAAGCCTCGGTTGATCTTATTCAAACCAGTATGACCTGTAAGCAGCAGGGTTTGGCGTATCACCCGGATGCGCCTCAGCAGAACCTCGATGGTCCACAGGTGCTGCCTGCCATCGTCTCCAAAGGTCTGAGCCTCACTGATTGTCCCAGAAAGACAGGATCCGCCCAGAAACCACCCAGCCAGGCTGGTTTCATAGAACATCTCTATGTTCTCTGCTCTATGGGTCATCTGGTCCCTGATTGATGACATTTGGAGTTGCTAAAAAATGTAACCAAGCTTGTTTTCACCATCAGAGCCCAGCAGAGAAGAAGCATTGGGACTAAAATCTGTCCCTGCGAGTCCTGAAGAAGCCGTCTGCTGCTACAATGTCTGGGACTAGCTGCAAGGTTAAGGTGCACAAGAACTGCTGGTGAGTAAGGTGGCTGGACCAGGAGAGCGGCTCTACTCCATGATGGCTCTGTAAATCACAGGTTCAATGTAGTCCCCTCGGTACCGTGAGTTGATCACCCTTTGCCTCTTGGACTCTTGGAGGATCTCATTGTCTTCAAAGATGCCATCAAACCTCATGTCTGAGGCTTTGGACTGCAGGAGGAGAGAAACGGTTAACTGAGACATGGCTGCAGATTCATCTACTGCACCTGTTTCCATCCACCCAGGTCAAGCTCCACCCACCAATCTGGATTTGACTCTCTTAGGAAGTTCTTCGTCCAGAGTGTAGACGTCATCTCTCTTGGCAGTTAGCTGAGAGCCATCCTCAAACTCCACCTGCAGGTTGGAACAGCAGTACATCAGTTTTATACCTACCAACCATCTCCACCTACTGTCTGTCAGATGCAGGAGAAATGATCTGAGACGTTGAACACGTTATCGACTCAACCAACACCCGATCAAACAAAGATGAGTTTTACTGTAAATCCTTGTGATAAAGGCCAGCATTGGCTGGACTGTCACACTCCTCAGCAGATGGAAGAAAAACGGCCTCTACGAACTCACCACTTTGGATCCTTGTTTGGGAAAGGACAGCGTTGCATCTTATTGGCATTTAAGATGTGCCATTATGGCCTGGCCCCATGGTGAGAGAGGACTTATTTGTCCAAGGGGGGGCTCTATCTGTGTGGCATTGTGTGGTCCTTGGGGTTGATGGGAGCTCACCCAATATATGAACGTGTTGGAGGTGCGGGCCGAGCACAGGGCCCTCAGATGTTTCTGCACAGTCTGGAGGGAAGGCATGTGCTGGTTCAGACAGAAAACAGATCTGTTGTTTACCACGTCAACCAAAACGGACATACAAAATTGACGGGGCTTCTGAAAGTGTCCAGGGACCTCCTGATCTATCCACCTCACTCCCACCAGGCCCTTCACTGTGCGCTGTCAGGCTCTGGGACCGCTTTGGTGAGGCGGAGGAGAATCTGTTCGCCATTGAGGAGTTGACTCATTGGCCCTTGTGGTATTCCCTAACAGGGCTGCCATGATGTGCTAGCTTTTCCTGGCATCAGGTTCTGCTGTAGTCTTCCACTGCTCCCACCGACCTCACCGACTCTACAGAAGGTTTTCTAGAAGGGACACAAGTTATTAACCAGATGGATTTGCACCGCATATCCATCTGGAAACCTTCTGTTGAAGTAATTTTGGCCAGGCTACTCTTGCCGAAACCAGTCGAGAGAAGAGCAAAAACATCTTTTCCTCTGAGAAAAGCCTCCAGAGCAGTGTTTTGCTCTTCTTTCAGTGAAGAAATACTCTGTAATTCCGATAAAACTTGCTCGATAGCCACGCTAACGCTAGTTTCATCGGCTGAAGCCGCCATGTTCTTTAGACTGAACTGTCGCGCTTCTCGTTGCGTCACACCTCAACCCGCCTCAAAGCCAACGCTGATTGGACGTTCGTTTGGTGAACGGCTCCAAATTTTCTTCAAGGGAGAGTCTCCAGACTGATCTGCGAGTGAAATCTTGAAAGCTCGCGAGATCAGGATGGTCTCACGAGGCTAACAAGTTGTTGCCGTTTGGTGCCGATATTGCTAGCATGGTTCCCACTGCTTTGGAGGCTGTAAGGAGGCGGATACACCACCCCAACCATCAATGTCTTAGACGTGTGTTTGACCCTGGGGGGCTGACTTGGTGTCTGGCCCCACTTAGGTGGACCATATTGAGAATTAGGGAACCCTCCAGTGGAGAGAAGAACAACAGATTTTCTAATTGATGCTCTTCCTGCAATAATCATCCAGTTTCCTGCCAGGTTTCCTCTATTCTTTTTTTTTTTTGCTTTGTTTTTAATTAAAGTTTTGATTTGATTTTACAACTTTTAATATCAACACTTTGACTGCAATAGTCACATAACCTTACATATTTTACGGGCCCATAATGTATTTAAAAACCAAAACAAAAGCCTGTACATGAGATGTCCAATCTTTCCTCTGTTCTGGGCTTTTTTCCAGTCTCTGCTTGATGGCGGCTGCTTTGCTTCAACCATTGAGGCGCGTCTGGCAGCAGTTTATGTCATCATGCATCGTCGATGATCTCACCAATCTGTTGTTTTTTTGTGCCATGCTCGATGAATAGCCTCCTTCAGCACATCAGGCCTCTTCTAACACTAACTTTAAATATCTCATCAGAAATGAACCTTTTCTCTTTGGCTTTTAACACCTAGCTAAACAGTGAGCTTTATTTTATTTTATAAAGTTTTTATCTTTTATTTCTTATATGTTTTACCCAATTTTATTGATTTGATTGTGTAAATTTTACCCATGTTTTATGTAATATTTTTTTTCTGTACAGCTGTGATTGTTTTTAAGTGCTTAACAGATAAAACAGGAACCAGCTTCATACAGGTTAGGAGACTTTACCTCCGTGGCACTAAAACTGTATTACGGATGAAGAACCATGGAGAGAAATCTCACACATTATTTAAAGATCTCACAAATGTTGCATCCAAACAGTTTTTAATGGTAATTTCATTCTGTTCTATTTATTTGAAAAGCTCCATTTCATCAGATTATCTAAAGGCGTTGCAGGATTATCATTATTTTACATTATATGATACATTTTGTCTTGATATTGTAGTATGAACATAAGGTGAAAACAATGACAACATATTTCCATTTCCATGAGATGACAGAGCTGTGACTACAGTGTTTGGCCATAAACTCTCTCCCTCCATCCATGTTTTCCTTCCTCTTTGTTCATAGTCGCTTCTTCCTTTGGGGTTAGTTTAGTTCTAGGGGCTGAATGATCTTAGTTAATAAACTATTTATATTAATAATTTATTCCATGTGTGCAGAGTTGATGTTTGACAGGATTTAAACTCCATTCAGACTTTCATTTGTTGTTCTAACACACAGCCATGTTCAAAACATTATCTAATTAAATATCCTATTAACCAACCTAGAGTGGCTGATGATTTAAATCATAACAAAGTCATTCTATATAGTATGAAGGCCAATAAAATAAACCCTTTTAGACCCAGATCAGAAGAGCACAGAGGAACAGAACAACTTACCAAGTACATTTGAATAACATGAGCCGCCACGAATTTGGCCCCATAGACCAGCCCGTCGGTCCATCGCACCTGAACCACTTCTCCCTGCGGCGGGGGGCCAAGCTGGGAGCAGTCTCGATTCTGAGCAAAAGAAATTAATTGTTAGGTTTCAAAAACTGAACAATTAATCTGACACCTTTTCAGCTAACCGGGAAAAAAAACACACCACACCAAGACATGATTGGATGTTTATGGTTTAATATCGAAGCCCAGAGTTCAGGGTCCCCCACTGATCCAGACTGAGGAACCCTTCGTTTATTAGCCGCATGAGACCAGGAGGTTCAGAGACATTAAATGTAGAGTTTCATTCTCACTGAGCCATAATAATGACAAGATATAAATACTGAGCTGTTTCACTCTAAGTGGAATAAACTGCTAACACTGAATTAACACATCCTAGATCTGAGTGGATAAACTATTGAATTCTTTGTTTTGTATGAACCTGGATGTGCTGAAAACAAAATTACACAAAAAACATTTTTAAAAGTATAACCAATGGAGGCCTGGATTAGGAGTCACACACAAAGCATCAGAATTAGCCTATCTCACTGGTCTCTGGTAAAATGCTAAGCGTCCTGAACGGTGTTGGGCTGAGAAGACGTGGGGCCCTCATACCGTCCTCATGGAGTCTGCTTCTGTTTGTGTAGACATAGGCACATCTGTGGCCTGCTGGAGGTCATTCTGCAGCAGCCTTTTAGCTAGCAATACATACAGGCAAACATTGTACGTCTTTTACGTAAAATATAAGAAATTGTACGCTCTGTTTTTGGGATGTACGGCTTTGGTATGCCCTCATGTCCCCTGGAATATGGTGGAATGTCGCTAGTCAACTTCACCCGCGGGAACAAGCATTTTGCACTGTTAGCAAGCAGGTTAACTTGAAACTTTAAAAAGTTTATGAAAACTGATCGTATTACCAATAACTATAGGATTATTTTGTAGTTTTACTTGTTCTTTCGGACAATAATGTCCAACGTAAATGACCACTGAGGGGGGTGGGGGGTGGCATCGGTATAAATCCCTAGAAAATGTTGTACAGATGCCACGTTTTTTTTTTATGGTTCTTCGAAATAATTGGAGTCTTTCTTTCCAAAGGACAGATAAATGGATGCCGTTTGAGGATAAATGTGAGCTTGTTTTCCCTGCCTGCAGAACCACTCCTTTACTGAGCGGGTTTTGCTAATTGCCAATATTTTCCACCTGATTATCAATCACTGTTGCTTCCTAAGTGACCAGTTTGATTTCACAGAAGTTTGATTTGGTGGAAGTAGTATTCGGTTGTTGAAGTGTTCCCTTTATTTTTTTTAGCAGAGTTTATCTAACATCCCAAACTAATAAAATAGAGTTTCTGTGATGCTGGAGTTTAGATGTTTGCCCTGGACTGAGAGAAGCAGAACCTACCACGATGTCCTCAGGGAAGAGGTTATCACTGAAGGAGCCGTCGTCAAAGTTGACTTCATAGAAGGTCTCTTTGGAAAGCTGCACCACATCACACTGGTAGTATCGGCCGTTCTTGTGCTTGCAGATGACCTTCTGACCCACAGTGAGCTCATGCATGGCTGCCTTGTTGCGCTGCAGCAGCAGAAGTCCAAAACAGAACCGTTAATGCCGACCGGGTCGCCTCAACGAGCGACAGACGGCAGAGCGGCTGCCCACCTCGATCTGGGCGGGACCTTTGTGCCGACAGCAGGTCACATGGACCACAAAGGGCCAATCGTCCGGCTGCATCAGGACCCCGGCAGCCTGGGCACAGGTGGGGTGGTAGGCGGTGGGACAGCGGCCGTGGGAACACTGGACACAGCAGCCTGAGGCCTTCTTCACCCGCTTCTTACAGTAGTAACATTTCTGTGGAGGAAAACAGCAGCAGTCAGAGGGGTTCTGATGGGCCTGCTGCCCCCCCTGCAGGCTGGTTTGGGAACTGCACACTCACCAGTTTGAATCTCTGCAGAGGGATCCCACTGAGGTCCACTGGACTTCTCCTGGTCACGTCGACAAAGCGGGCCTCCATCACCGCCACGGCACACAGAACATGGACCCACCTATAAACAAACAGCTCTGGGTCATCGGTGGAGGAGGTTCTTAAGGTTCTGGACATTTACGGCGGCCATGGTGGACATGTCTCCTTAACAAACAGTAGGAGGAGTCTGGGGCGTGTTGGACTGAGCCGGCGCCACCTACTGTCAGGTGGGAGGGGTCGGGTTTGGTTCTGATGCGTCATATCAGAGATCTGATTGTTCCTGATGTTCCTAACAGAGCACTTCGCTCTCAATCTGCAGGTTTACTAGTGGTTCCTAGAATTTCTAAAAGTAGAATGGGAGGCAGATCTTTTAGTTATCAGGCTCCTCTCCTGTGGAACCAACTACCAGTTTTAGTCCGTGAGGCAGACACCCTGTCTACTTTTAAGGCTAGGCTTAAAACTTTCCTTTTTGATAAAGCTTCTAGTTAGAGTGGCTCAGGTTATCCTGAGCTATCTCTATAGTTCTGCTGCTATAGGCTTAGACTGCTGGAGGACATAGGGAGCCCTTTTTCATCATTCTGCTTCATTCCTGTGGAGCCAGTTGCCTTTTGTATCTATGCTTCTTTTTCTATGTCTGCTTCTGTCTCCTTGAACCCCAGTGGGCCTCAGCAGATGGCCGCTCACACTGAGCCTGGTTCTGCTGGAGGTCAGTTTGGGGACGAAGAAACATGAGAAGAACTGCAAAGTTCTGGGTGGACTGGACCATAAAACATTAAAACCCGGAGGTTTGACCAGCAAGGCGTGTTCTGCTGCTGCTCACACAGATGGAACTTACTTGTCATTGGTGGTTTTATGCAAGGCTCCGCCCCTTAGCAGACACAGACAGCAGCTCTGCAAACAGAACAACATCCATAAAGAGGTTAGACTGAACCGAGATGGAAACAGAACCTTTTTCTTTTCTCTCATCAAAGTTATGAAGGAATCAGACAAAGATGGAAGAACAGACTTCAGGATCATCCAAGCCAAGATGGCTGCCCGTCAAAGCAGATCTAGAATTCTACCTCAGTCCTTCTAAAGTCCACTTTCAGCAGCCAGCAGGCCCCAGCCAGTTTCCAGTGATGGTCACTAACACTGGTTCCACTGCCAGATCTGCTTAAAGAAACTAAACATGCGGGCGGGTTCCTGCCAGCAGATTCATTTTCTATGAGCCGATCGGCACTTTACAGAAAGACTGAGGGGGGGGGGGGGGGGTCAGGAAGGATTATCTGGGGGCAGCTCAGTCAGCCAGATTGAACCAACACAGTGGTGATCCTGCGGCGCAGAGCCGCCACCGCCGCCTTGTGGAGGCAACTAGTGGATCAAACAAAAATCTCCTCCAACACAGAGGAAACAGAAAAAGGAGGGGCTTCATCAGCAAAGAGACAACATGGAATAAAACAGGAAACTGTGAATGAGTTCCAGCGGCTCCTCTGAGTTCCAGCGGCTCCTCTGAGTTCCAGCGGCTCCTCTGAGGCCCAGCGGCTCCTCTGAGGCCCAGCGGCTCCTGCCCAACCAGCAGGGGGAGATGAACACAGACCCACCTCGTTGATGGCGTTGGCCCTGCAGCGGGCACATTTCCACTGCGGGCTCACAGAGACCGGGTTCACGCCGTAACAGCCTGGATATGAGAAAGATGGGGAGGGGGGGGGTTAACACGCAGCCTGCCATGTGGTGGATCAGAACCAAGCAGGGGTACTGACTGCTGTGGACCCAAACGCTGCAGCGCGTGCAGCTGATGAGGAGGCTGGTTCCATCCTCCTCTAAATAAGGCGAGGCGGCGTGTTCTTCGCTCTCTGCGTCTTCTTCTGTGGTGATGGTGAAACAAGCCTCAGGGATGAGGGGTTTGGTCCGCCTCTGGCCTCCAGCCGTCACCACAGGACTGTCTCTGCTGGAGCGATCCATCTGGGGACATACATTATTAGAATTTACATTTAAATTCTATTCAGTTTATTTCTATAGCACCAATTCACATCATGGCATCTCAAGATATGGCATCAAGGCAATGGAATCTAGGGAAAACCAGCTGATATTTCTCTCCAGGATGGAGTCAAAGCCAAACAGGAACAGACCAGATGAAGCTACTATGAGAAAAAGCAGAGAGAGCAGAACGTTAGAGATTGAACTAACAGATTCTGCAGAGTGGGAGAATAGAGATAGAATGAAGCAGAATGATGAAAAAGGGGTCCCTATGTCCTCCAGCAGTCTAAGCCTATAGCAGCAGAACTATAGAGATAGATCAGGATAACCTGAGCCACTCTAACTAGAAGCTTTATCAAAAAGGAAAGTTTTAAGCCTAGCCTTAAAGGAATAGTACACCCAAAACATGATTAGCCTTCATTTTCTACTCACCCCCATGCTGAACAACACTCTGGAGTGCTTTTTTGATATCTCAAATGCATCTGGAGATCTGGGAGGCTTCTTGCTGTCTGCTGACATTCAAATAATGGAGGTCTATGGCGCCCGAGGCAGAAAGGTCCATAAAAGTCCACAAAAAACGTGTCATTATTCCTCCATACTGCTCATTCCTCCATAAAGCGCGTTCACGAGTCTACGGAAACCACGGCAGACCAAACCAGCGCATTCAGCTCGGCAAAGAACTCATGCTCTTCCTCAACACTGAAGTCCTCAGACATTTTTCTTTCCTTGTTTCTTTCTTTGCACAGGTAAACAGCACATTTCTTCTTCTACGCTTGCATTATCAGCAGAGCAGACGCTGAATGCGCACTTTCATCTGGTTTGGTCTGCCGCGGTTTCCGTAGACTCGTGAACGCGCTTTCAGGAAATCCTATACACTACTGTTTATGCTCTAAAAACATTCTAAATGACTTCGTTTCGAGTAAATTATGGACGCTACCCACTCAGGACACTTGGAATACATTGGACGAGCAGTATGGAGGAATATTGACACGTTTTTTGTGGACTTTTATGGACCTTTCTGCCTCGGGCGCCATAGACCTCCATTATTTGAATGTCAGCAGACAGCAAGAAGCCTCCCAGATCTCCAGATGCATTTGAGATATCAAAAAAGTACTCCAGAGTGTTGTTCAGCATGGAGGTGAGTAGAAAATGAAGGCTAATCATGTTTTGGGTGTACTATTCCTTTAAAAGTAGACAGGGTGTCTGCCTCGCGGACTAAAACTGGTTTTCAAAACTTCAAGGCCTGGAACTTATTTTTTTATCATATTCCAAGGATTTTAAGGACCTGTGGAAAGCGTGTTATTAGGTTAGCTGACACAGGAAACATCTCCATTACGTGCTGACCTGCTGGTAGGTCTGGAAGAGCATGCAGATGGAGCAGTAGGGAGGTCTGGAGCCCATGTACTGGTTGTACTCCCTCTCTTTGTCCAGGTCAGGAGGACTGCTCTGCCACAGCTGGACCACAGCTTTGGTCCAGTCCTCTCCTTCTGGTCCGGCTGGTTCCGCTGGAGGAAGCTCCTCCACAGCATCTAAGGCAGATCAAACTATCAGAATCCCGTCGCTGAAGCTCAGAGTCAGACATGCTGGGGGAGCGACTGGCTGGCGTCAGGACAGACCTCTGATGGCCTCCTCCATATGGTGGGGCTGGGGCGGCGGCTCCAGGTTACCTTCCAGGTCTGCACAGGGGGCCAACGCCTGCTGGGGGACAGAACCCCCCCTCGCAGGATTAAACCTTCAGCTGAGATTAAGTTATAAATAGACGTGCATTCACATCGTACAAGAGCTAAATCTAAAAAAAAACACTAAATGAAACTAAAGAAAATCTGAATTTACAACTTTAATTGAAAACTGAGCAGAAAAGAGCATCTTCCTGATCCTATGGGAGACGTCTGACTCGTGTGCGCCCCCTGAGGGTGGCTTATATTACCCAATGGGCCGGCCTGTCTGTCAGATTAGATGGGATGGAGCAGCTGAAGGTGTTTATCCTTCAGCTGATGGTGAAACCGTCACTAAAGCAGCGTCTGCCCAGGGTGAAGGACGGCTCCTCCAACAGGATGATGATGATGATGATGATGATGCTAACGCCACTCACTTCTCTGCTGACAGGCAGCTGGTCCCCCTGTTCACCCTCGTGGCTCGTGGTCCGGCCTTCCTCCAGCGCCGGGTTCTCTTCTCCGTAGTCTCCTTTAGCGTAGCTGTGGACGTGCAGGACGTCGGCCGGGCTGAGCGTCCTCTGGAACGCTCTGTGCACTGGAACACCACTGGTTTCCACTCTGCCCTCCCCATCGCCTTCCAGAGGCTCAGGAGGACCAGGATCTGCAGCCGCTCCTCCGTTCTTCTCCTTCCTCGCAGCGCTTTGTCTGCTGGAGGTCTTCTTGTTGGCGGCTCTAGAGGAGCCTTTGGGCTGAGCCCTGCTGGGCTTCTCCTGCTGAGCTTCTGGCTCAGGCTGAGCTGTGTCGGAAACAACAGATTTTATGGCAACTGGTTCACGTCGTGATCTGGTCACCAGCTGGTTGACTTTCAGACAGAGACACGGAGGAGAGTTCAGGTCTTTACCTGGGGAGGGAGCGTTCTTCTCAGGCTCCTCCTTGACCTCCACATCACCCGTGTCTCCTTCAGAGGTCTGAATGGCTGGAGGCGGACGTTCTCCCTCACTCTGAGGATCTGAGCTGAGGACGTCAGAGAGGACATGTTAGGACTTGTTGGGCTCGACAGGTAAAGAGCGGAACCCCTCCACTCAGCCGTTCTACCTGAAGCTCAAGAATCTCCTGCAGTGAGATCAAAGCCTCACGGTCCCGGTCAGTGCGGTGACCTGGAAACGTCACGGTCCCAGTCACTGCAGTGACCTGGAAACGTCACGGTCCCGGTCAGTGCGATGACCTGGAAACGTCACGGTCCAAGTCACTGCAGTGACCTGGAAACGTCACGGTTCCGGTCACTACAGTGACCTGGAAACGTCACGGTCCCGGTCAGTGCGGTGACCTGGAAACGTCACGGTCCCAGTCACTGCAGTGACCTGGAAACGTCACGGTCCCGGTCAGTGCGGTGACCTGGAAACGTCACGGTCCAAGTCACTGCAGTGACCTGGAAACGTCACGGTTCCGGTCACTACAGTGACCTGGAAACGTCACGTCCCGGTCAGTGCAGTGACCTGGAAACGTCACGGTTCCGGTCACTACAGTGACCTGGAAACGTCACGTCCCGGTCAGTGCGGTGACCTGGAAACGTCACGGTCCCAGTCACTGCAGTGACCTGGAAACGTCACGGTTCCGGTCACTACAGTGACCTGGAAACGTCACGGTCCCGGTCAGTGCAGTGACCTGGAAACGTCACGGTCCCAGTCACTGCAGTGACCTGGAAACGTCACGGTCCCGGTCAGTGCGGTGACCTGGAAACGTCACGGTCCCAGTCACTGCAGTGACCTGGAAACGTCACGGTCCCGGTCAGTGCGGTGACCTGGAAACGTCACGGTCCCAGTCACTGCAGTGACCTGGAAACGTCACGGTCCCAGTCACTGCAGTGACCTGGAAACGTCACGGTTCCGGTCACTACAGTGACCTGGAAACGTCACGGTCCCGGTCAGTGCGGTGACCTGGAAACGTCACGGTCCCAGTCACTGCAGTGACCTGGAAACGTCACGGTCCCGGTCAGTGCGGTGACCTGGAAACGTCACGGTCCAAGTCACTGCAGTGACCTGGAAACGTCACGGTTCCGGTCACTACAGTGACCTGGAAACGTCACGTCCCGGTCAGTGCAGTGACCTGGAAACGTCACGGTTCCGGTCAATACAGTGACCTGGAAACGTCACGTCCCGGTCAGTGCGGTGACCTGGAAACGTCACGGTCCAAGTCACTGCAGTGACCTGGAAACGTCACGGTCCAAGTCACTGCAGTGACCTGGAAACGTCACGGTCCAAGTCACTGCAGTGACCTGGAAACGTCACGGTCCAAGTCACTGCAGTGACCAGGAAACGTCACGGTTCCGGTCACTACAGTGACCTGGAAACGTCACGGTCCCGGTCAGTGCAGTGACCTGGAAACGTCACGGTCCCAGTCACTGCAGTGACCTGGAAACGTCACGGTCCCGGTCAGTGCGGTGACCTGGAAACGTCACGGTCCCAGTCACTGCAGTGACCTGGAAACGTCACGGTCCCGGTCAGTGCGGTGACCTGGAAACGTCACGGTCCCAGTCACTGCAGTGACCTGGAAACGTCACGGTCCCGGTCAGTGCGGTGACCTGGAAACGTCACGGTCCCAGTCACTGCAGTGACCTGGAAACGTCACGTCCCGGTCAGTGCAGTGACCTGAAAACGTCACGGTTCCGGTCACTGCAGTGACCTGGAAACGTCACGGTCCCGGTCAGTGCAGTGACCTGGAAAAGTGACGTCCCGGTCAGTGCAGTGACCTGGAAAAGTGACGCCCCGGTCAGTGTGGTGACCTGAAAACGTCACGTCACGTCCCGGTCAGTGCAGTGACCTGGAAACGTCGCGTCACGTCCCGGTCAGTGCGGTGACCTGGAAACATCACGGTCCCAGTCACTGCAGTGACCGGGAAACGTCACGGTCCCGGTCAGTGCGGTGACCTGGAAACGTCACGTCACGTCCCGGTCAGTGCGGTGACCTGGAAACATCACGGTCCCAGTCAGTGCAGTGACCTGGAAACGTCACGGTCCTGGTCAGTGCGGTGACCTGGAAACGTCACGTCCCGGTCAGTGCGGTGACCTGGAAACGTCACGTCCCGGTCACTGCAGTGACCTGGAAACGTCACGGTCCCGGTCAGTGCGGTGACCTGGAAACGTCACGTCCCGGTCAGTGCGGTGACCTGGAAACGTCACGTCCCGGTCACTGCAGTGACCTGGAAACGTCACGGTCCCGGTCAGTGCGGTGACCTGGAAACGTCACGTCCCGGTCAGTGCAGTGACCTGGAAACGTCACGGTCCCGGTCAGTGCAGTGACCTGGAAACGTCACGGTCCCGGTCAGTGCGGTGACCTGGAAACGTCACGGTCCCAGTCACTGCAGTGACCTGGAAACGTCACGGTCCCGGTCAGTGCGGTGACCTGGAAACGTCACGGTCCCAGTCACTGCAGTGACCTGGAAACGTCACGGTCCCGGTCAGTGCGGTGACCTGGAAACGTCACGGTCCCAGTCACTGCAGTGACCTTGAAACGTCACGTCCCGGTCAGTGCAGTGACCTGGAAACGTCACCGTCCCAGTCAGTGCGGTGACCTGAAAACATCACGTCACGTCCCGGTCAGTGCGGTGACCTGGAAACATCACGGTCCCGGTCAGTGCAGTGACCTGGAAACGTCACGGTCCCAGTCACTGCAGTGACCGGGAAACGTCACGGTCCCAGTCACTGCAGTGACCGGGAAACGTCACGGTCCCGGTCAGTGCGGTGACCTGGAAACATCACGGTCCCGGTCAGTGCAGTGACCTGGAAACGTCACGGTCCCGGTCACTGCAGTGACCGGGAAACGTCACGTCCCGGTCAGTGCGGTGACCTGGAAACATCACGGTCCCGGTCAGTGCAGTGACCTGGAAACGTCACGGTCCCAGTCACTGCAGTGACCGGGAAACGTCACGGTCCCGGTCACTGCAGTGACCTGGAAACGTTCCTGTCCCGGTCAGTGCGGTGACCTGAAAACATCACGTCACGGTTCCGGTCACTACAGTGACCTGGAAACGTCATGTCCCGGTCAGTGCAGTGACCTGAAAACGTCACGGTTCCGGTCACTGCAGTGACCTGGAAACGTCACGGTCCCGGTCAGTGCAGTGACCTGGAAAAGTGACGTCCCGGTCAGTGCAGTGACCTGGAAAAGTGACGCCCCGGTCAGTGCAGTGACCTGGAAACGTCACCGTCCCAGTCAGTGCGGTGACCGGGAAACGTCATGTCCCGGTCAGTGCAGTGACCTGAAAACGTCACGGTACCGGTCACTGCAGTGACCTGGAAACGTCACGGTCCCGGTCAGTGCAGTGACCTGGAAAAGTGACGTCCCGGTCAGTGCAGTGACCTGGAAAAGTGACGTCCCGGTCAGTGCAGTGACCTGGAAAAGTGACGTCCCGGTCAGTGCAGTGACCTGGAAAAGTGACGCCCCGGTCAGTGCGGTGACCTGGAAACGTCACGTCCCGGTCAGTGCGGTGACCTGGAAACATCACGGTCCCAGTCACTGCAGTGACCGGGAAACGTCACGGTCCCGGTCACTGCAGTGACCTGGAAACTTCACGGTCCCGGCCAGTGCGGTGACCTGGAAACGTCACGTCCCGGTCAGTGCAGTGACCTGGAAACTTCACGGTCCCGGTCAGTGCGGTGACCTGGAAACGTCACGTCCCGGTCAGTGCAGTGACCTGGAAACGTCACGGTCCCGGTCAGTGCAGTGACCTGGAAACGTCACCGTCCCAGTCAGTGCGGTGACCTGAAAACATCACGTCACGTCCCGGTCAGTGCGGTGACCTGGAAACATCACGGTCCCGGTCAGTGCAGTGACCTGGAAACATCACGGTCCCAGTCACTGCAGTGACCGGGAAACGTCACGGTCCCGGTCAGTGCGGTGACCTGGAAACATCACGGTCCCGGTCAGTGCAGTGACCTGGAAACGTCACGGTCCCAGTCACTGCAGTGACCGGGAAACGTCATGTCCCGGTCAGTGCGGTGACCTGGAAACATCACGGTCCCGGTCAGTGCAGTGACCTGGAAACGTCACGGTCCCAGTCACTGCAGTGACCGGGAAACGTCACGGTCCCGGTCACTGCAGTGACCTGGAAACGTTCCGGTCCCGGTCAGTGCGGTGACCTGAAAACATCACGTCACGTCCCGGTCAGTGCGGTGACCTGGAAACATCACGATCCCGGTCAGTGCAGTGACCTGGAAACGTCACGGTCCCAGTCACTGCAGTGACCGGGAAACGTCACGGTCCCGGTCACTGCAGTGACCTGGAAACGTCACGGTCCCAGTCAGTGCGGTGACCTGAAAACGTCACGTCACGTCCCGGTCAGTGCAGTGACCTGGAAACGTCACGGTCCCAGTCACTGCAGTGACCGGGAAACGTCACGGTCCCGGTCACTGCAGTGACCTGGAAACTTCACGGTCCCGGTCAGTGCGGTGACCTGGAAACGTCACGTCCCGGTCAGTGCAGTGACCTGGAAACTTCACGGTCCCGGTCAGTGCGGTGACCTGGAAACGTCACGTCCCGGTCAGTGCAGTGACCTGGAAACGTCACGGTCCCGGTCAGTGCAGTGACCTGGAAACGTCACCGTCCCAGTCAGTGCGGTGACCTGAAAACATCACGTCACGTCCCGGTCAGTGCGGTGACCTGGAAACATCACGGTCCCGGTCAGTGCAGTGACCTGGAAACATCACGGTCCCAGTCACTGCAGTGACCGGGAAACGTCACGGTCCCGGTCAGTGCGGTGACCTGGAAACATCACGGTCCCGGTCAGTGCAGTGACCTGGAAACGTCACGGTCCCAGTCACTGCAGTGACCGGGAAACGTCATGTCCCGGTCAGTGCGGTGACCTGGAAACATCACGGTCCCGGTCAGTGCAGTGACCTGGAAACGTCACGGTCCCAGTCACTGCAGTGACCGGGAAACGTCACGGTCCCGGTCACTGCAGTGACCTGGAAACGTTCCGGTCCCGGTCAGTGCGGTGACCTGAAAACATCACGTCACGTCCCGGTCAGTGCGGTGACCTGGAAACATCACGATCCCGGTCAGTGCAGTGACCTGGAAACGTCACGGTCCCAGTCACTGCAGTGACCGGGAAACGTCACGGTCCCGGTCACTGCAGTGACCTGGAAACGTCACGGTCCCAGTCAGTGCGGTGACCTGAAAACGTCACGTCACGTCCCGGTCAGTGCAGTGACCTGGAAACGTCACCGTCCCAGTCAGTGCGGTGACCTGAAAACGTCACGTCACGTCCCGGTCAGTGCGGTGACCTGGAAACATCACGGTCCCGGTCAGTGCAGTGACCTGGAAACGTCACGGTCCCAGTCACTGCAGTGACCTGGAAACGTCACGGTCCCGGTCACTGCAGTGACCTGGAAACGTTACGTCCCGGTCAGTGCAGTGACCTGGAAAAGTCATGTCACGGTCAGTGCAGTGACCTGGAAAAGTGACGTCCCAGTCAGTGCAGTGACCCGGAAACGTCACGGTCCCGGTCACTGCACTGACCTGGAAATGTCACCGTCCCAGTCAGTGCGGTGACCTGAAAACGTCACGGTCCCGGTCAGTGAAGTGACCTGGAAAAGTCAGGGTTCGGGTCAGTGCAGTGACCTGGAAAAGTGACGTCCCGGTCAGTGCAGTGACCTGGAAACGTCACGCTCCCGGTCAGTGCAGTGACCTGCAAACGTCACGGTCCCGGTCAGTGCAGTGACCTGGAAAAGTGACGTCCCGGTCAGTGCAGTGACCTGGAAAAGTGACGTCCCGGTCAGTGAAGTGACCTGGTCACTGGTTGGTTTGTACTGACGGAGGCACTGGAGGAGGTTTGGGTTGAAACAGCAGAGAGAGTTTAGATCCAGACCTCCGGTCCTGTTTGGCAGGAGACGATGGCTCCTTAGGCGATTCCTCTCTGCAGATGTCTGTGCTGGTTTCTCTCCCCAGGAACTCAGCCGCTTCTGGAGTCGGTCTGAGGTGGTCGATGGGTGCGTCGTCTTTTCCTGCCTTCCACAGTTCGTAACGCTCAGGCTGAAACTTGCGCACAAACGCATCCATGGAGATCTTCACTGTATCTTGACGACAGGAACACTGCAGAACAACACATAAAACATCTCACAGCTTTAATATAGACTGGACAGCTTTAAGTCAGTCAGCCTTAATACAGACTGGGTCAGTGCCGAATGAAAAGCACAGAAATAGAGATTGTAAATGAACCAGGGCACAGCAACCAGAGGCTAGCCCGCCAACCAGAGGCTAGCCCGCCAACCAGAGGCTAGCATGGCAACCAAGGGTTAGCCCACCAACCAGAGGCTAGTACACCAACCAGAGGCTAGCATGGCAACCATGGGTTAGCCCGCCAACCAGAGGCTAGCATGGCAACCATGGATTAGCCCGCCAACCAGAGGCTAGCATGGCAACCAAGGGTTAGCCCACCAACCAGAGGCTAGTACACCAACCAGAGGCTAGCATGGCAACCATGGATTAGCCCGCCAACCAGAGGCTAGCATGGCAACCAAGGGTTAGCCCACCAACCAGAGGCTAGTACACCAACCAGAGGCTAGCATGGCAACCATGGTTTAGCTTGCCAACCAGAGGCTAGCATGGCAACCATGGGTTAGCCCGCCAAACAGATGCTAGCATGGCAACAAAGGGTTAGCTTGCCAACCAGAGGCTAGCATGGCAACCAAGGGTTAGCCCGCCAACCAGAGGCTAGCATGGCAACCAAGGGTTAGCCCGCCAACCAGAGGCTAGCATGGCAACCATGGGTTAGCCCGCCAAACAGATGCTAGCATGGCAACCAAGGGTTAGCTTGCCAACCAGAGGCTAGCATGGCAACCATGGATTAGCCCGCCAACCAGAGGCTAGCATGGCAACCAAGGGTTAGCTTGCCAACCAGAGGATAGCATGGCAACCAAGGGTTAGCCCGCCAACCAGAGGCCAGCATGGCAACCAAGGGTTAGCCCGCCAACCAGAGGCTAGCATGGCAACCAAGGGTTAGCTTGCCAACCAGAGGCTAGTATGGCAACCAAGGGTTAGCCCGCCAACCAGAGGCTAGTATGGCAACCAAGGGTTAGCCCGCCAACCAGAGGCTAGCATGGCAACCAAGGGTTAGCCCGCCAACCAGAGGCTAGCATGGCAACCAAGGGTTAGCTTGCCAACCAGAGGCTAGCATGGCAACCAAGGGTTAGCCCGCCAACCAGAGGCTAGTATGGCAACCAAGGGTTAGCCCGCCAACCAGAGGCTAGTATGGCAACCAAGGGTTAGCCCGCCAACCAGAGGCTAGCATGGCAACCAAGGGTTAGCCCGCCAACCAGAGGCTAGCATGGCAACCAAGGGTTAGCTTGCCAACCAGAGGCTAGCATGGCAACCAAGGGTTAGCCCGCCAACCAGAGGCTAGTATGGCAACCAAGGGTTAGCCCGCCAACCAGAGGCTAGTATGGCAACCAAGGGTTAGCCCGCCAACCAGAGGCTAGTATGGCAACCAAGGGTTAGCCCGCCAACCAGAGGCTAGTATGGCAACCAAGGGTTAGCCCGCCAACCAGAGGCTAGTATGGCAACCAAGGGTTAGCTTGCCAACCAGAGGCTAGCATGGCAACCAAGGGTTAGCCTGCCAACCAGAGGCCAGCATGGCAACCAAGGGTTAGTCCGCCAACCAGAAACTAGCACGCCAACCATGGCTCACATGGTGAAACCTGCTGTTTATAAGAACACTGAAAACTCTGAGGAACATGGCGCCATGTCCCACCGTTCTCGGTGACCTCCATCCTCACATCCTGGGCTATTGTTGTCTCTTCGGAGACGACATGTGACGTACCAGCTTAGCTCGTTTCCCATAATCGATCCAGCGCTGCGTGGCAAAGTTGGTGGACTCCACACAGTTGAAGCCATGGTTGAAACCAGCATGGTAGGCAAACGGGAAGGTCACCACGAACTCGCCGGCTTCCTGTGTGACCTGCCATGGATAGGGAAGATGAAGTTGATAAAGAAAAACACGCGACGGAAGAAAAACAGGAGAGTTATTTCCCTGTTCCCCAGAGATCAAAGGTCAGAGCAGATCAGACACGTTTCAGATAGACAGGGAGCTCATCCCTCATCTACGGAGGGAAATCACCTGAAGCCTTAAGCCTCACCCCTCTAACTCAGCCATCAGAATCATTTCACAGAACAGAGAAGATGGAGAGGGTTACCTTCTCGTATGGGATGCCGTATTTTCTAAGGATGGAGGGTGAAATCAAGGTCATCTTGTGGCCCAGGAAGGCATCGCAACTCTGGGCGTTCCCTGGAAAGAAGCCTGGGGGAGCAGGAAACATCTCAGCTAAGACCTCCAGACCCCAACAGGAGCAGGTTAGACAGCAGCACATCGGAGACCCTCCGGTCTAAACATCCAACTCTAGACTGTGATGGCCTCCTTCCATCATCTGACTGAGAAACAGGACCGTGCATTCATCCCTGGATACGCAAAGGACCACAGACCAGTAGGTGGAGCCAACAGCAGAGCTACCACTGCTACAGGAAGCTCGTCTTCCAGTGGAGGTTTTAAAGTCGTAGGAAAGCGGCTGTTCCAACCGTTGCATTTCTGAATTCGACCGAGTGGTGCCCGACGAGTGAAAAAAGGGAATGTGATTGGTCAATTATCAAGGGGGCGGGATTGTTGTGGCGGAAGGTTCACAAGCAAGTTTGGTTGTGGCCGGTTTGTTCGGAAGCATCTTGCTAACCAGTTTGCAACTTAGTGCTAGTAGGTTCCCAATGGGAAATTCCATTGGGACCAAGTAGCACTAAATTGGTGACTTAGAAACGACGCTGTCAAGGAACGCTATGGACAGCGGAAACATGCAAGAGGAGGAGAGTTTAGTGTCGGAGGTCGTGGATGAGTCTCCTCCGTCTCCTTCCAGGTTAGGTTAAAAGTTCTCTTTTCTGTTGCAGTTATTGAAAAAAGTTCCTTTTTGAGATCTTTTTGAGGCCAGAACATTATACTTTAAGCTTAACTATATGGCACATTTACGGATTTAATGGGTAATCTAATGCGTTGAGAGGACCATGGCAACCAGCGGAGCTCTGAGGGCATCGGCAGCCAACTGTGTTCCTAGACCGTCTGCAGCAGCCAGGGCCAACATCAGCCCGTCTGCAGCGGCCAGGGCTAACGTGAGCCCTTCTGCAGCGGCCGGTGCTAACGTCAACCCGTCTACAGCGGACGGTGCTAACGTCAACCCGTCTGCAGTGGCTGGTGCTAACGTCAGGTGCTAACGCCAGCCCGTCTGCAGTGGCCGGTGCTAACGTTGGGCTAACTTTAGCCCGTCTGCAGCGGCCGGTGCTAACGTCAGCCCGTCTGCAGCGGCCGGTGCTAACGTCAGCCCTTCTGCAGCGGCCGGTGCTAACGTCAGCCCGTCTGCAGCGGCCGGTGCTAACGTCAGCCCTTCTGCAGCGGCCGGTGCTAACGTCAGCGCGTCTGCAGCGGACGGTGCTAACGTCAGCCCGTCTGCAGCGGCCGGTGCTAACGTCAGCCCTTCTGCAGCGGCCGGTGCTAACGTCAGCCCGTCTGCAGCGGCCGGTGCTAACGTCAGCCCTTCTGCAGCGGCCGGTGCTAACGTCAGCCCTTCTGCAGCGGCCGGTGCTAACGTCAGCCCTTCTGCAGCGGCCGGTGCTAACGTCAGCCCGTCTGCAGCGGCCGGTGCTAACGTCAGCCCTTCTGCAGCGGCCGGTGCTAACGTCAGCCCTTCTGCAGCGGCCGGTGCTAACGTCAGCCCTTCTGCAGCGGCCGGTGCTAACGTCAGCCCTTCTGCAGCGGACGGTGCTAACGTCAGCCCGTCTGCAGCGGACGGTGCTAACGTCAGCAGCGGCCGGTGCCAACGTCAGCCCTTCTGTAGCCCTCTCTCTGCATAGCCGTGTGTGAAGTACCACTGGCTCTGATGGAGATTTGATTGTTTTATTTGGCAAAATGTTAATTTGATTTGTGTTTATCTGACTGTGTTCATTATTATTTCTCCACTAAATGAAAAAAGACATAATTTATTATTATTTAGATTGTATGTATGTGGTGATGTCATCAGTACGCATCTGTTCTGCGTGCTCCCGTTCTCCCCAAGTCCAGACTTTCCTGTGTTTTTGTCAGGAACAGACTTGGCGAGAACACGAGTCCGCACTCGTGTTCTTGTGAAATGAGAAATGGCCAACAATTCGCTCTCCAACAATACACCTGTGTTATTTCAACCGTTGCGTATATTAGCTGCGACACATGAATCGAGATGCTATGACCGAAAACATTTGATTGACAGATGACCGTTGATATATGATTGGCTGAATTTAGCTGTTCAGGCTGATGAATAACTAACTGGCCTGCAGAAGATAACGGAGAAAAAAACACAGATTTTAAGAAAGAATTTTTTTTTTATAAACAGAAATTTTCAAAATTTTGGGACAATATGGTCTGATAGAGTACATTTATATAAATGTTTAAGCCAGAATTATTTGACATTTAAATATGACTTCCCTACGGCTTGATTTGAAGGTCTACATATCTACAAAGGGTTTATATCGCACAGTAAAACCATTCAGTTGATGACATCATCACTACTAATGCGTTCCTTTGGGGAAAATGTCACCCGTCAAATTGAGGGCCATTGGGAGTTCTAGAAGGATCAGGATTCTGGGAGTCCTGGTGTTAAGTGATTACTAAAAAAAAAATCATCTGATTAATTGATCAGTCGGCTGCAGTTGAGTTTAGAGCTTGGTGTCGCCGTGCTGGAATCTGAGCCTCTTTGCTCATTTTCTCTGAGCCGATTGGACCGTAGACGGACATCTGAGTTCCCTCCCCAACACGAATTACGCTGAAACTGTTCAAATAACAGAGGAAGACGTGTTTTCAGCTCCTACCTCTGGCTAGGCGCTCCAGCTTCCTGCCATATTCTGGAGGGACAACATACCTGCATGACATGGAGACAGTTATTGACATCTACTCAGAGTAGCACAGCACTGAGACCAGCTTCAAGCGTCCAATCAGCAAGAAGGACCGTCCCTCAGCTGGAAAGGAACTTTTCAGCGAATGGATCAGACCATCAGGACCTCAGGTCCAGGTCCAGTACTGAACCTTAACCTCTGTTCTCAGCTTCAGCTCCCAAAGAAAGGACGAGTCTGTGAGGTTCTGGAGCTACTGACCATGACTTGGGCTGTCCGTAGTGCAGGTAGCTGACGGCGTACAGGTCCATGTCCTCCGTGTGCCAGGCTGTGGCGCTCTTCCACATCCCGAAGTGCAAACAGGGACTGGTGACGCCTTTGATCTTCAGCCCGTCCTCCGTCTCCACCGCATCCAGGATGGTGTTCAGACGGGACAGGTTCCATTCAGACAAGTCCTGCAGGACAAGAATCCACAGGAAACGATACCTGAGGAGAACCAGAACCAGAACCAGAGGCTGGTTGAACTTAGCTGCCACTCACTGGGTCAAACAGCGTCCCGCTGACATCTGCTCCATACAGCGGGGGGTTAAAGGTCAGGTTCTTCCAGAACCTCCTTTCCAGCTCCTCAGAGTCCACACATGTGGGCCTACAGAACCTGGAGGTGAACAGATGTGCAGACAGTCAGACCCACCGCAGCACACCCCCCCCCCTTCTACCTCACAGCAAAGCAGCAGGTCGCCATGACTACAGACTTCTCCAGGCCGGAGGTCTTCTGGAACTCCTGGACCGTCATGGGTTTCTTCTGGATGTTGTATTGAGTGAAGAGGCCCGACTGACCCGTCACCACCTGCTGGATGGGGGCAGGGATCAGCAGCTCCCCCACGCCGTCGTACGTCTCCCTGGGCGACCAGCCTTCAGGTGGAATGATCTGATGATGAAGAGCAGCAGGCACAGGTGAGACTGACAGAACCCCTCGCATCCAGAGTTCTGGTTCCTGTTTCCATGTCAACAAACAAACATTTAAAAAGGTTTGAAGACAATAATGCTGAACACTTTCACATCATCATCGAATAAAAACGAAACTAAGGGAGAAGATGTAGGCGATCCATGGACCGGGTCATCGGGAGGTCCATGGATCTAAGGGTCTACAACAGGGGCCCCTCCTCACTAAGGTTCCTGCTAAACGCTCTGTGTTCCACTCAGGACAGAGATCATCACATGGCGCCACGTGAAGGAGGGTCTGCTTACTTTGGCCATCCCAGCTCTGTGTGCTCCTCTGGACTCCATGAAGGCCACATACCGAACAAAGTCCGCAAACTCTTCTCTGGATGGAGTGAAGGTCCTCACCCTGAGATCCGCCGCTGGGCCCAGAGCGTCTGAGGTCATGACGGCGTTCCCAGAAGCTCACGGACTGCGGAAAGGAGGCAGACGCTGGTTACACATCATGATGGACCCTTTCTGAGGACCTGCTCAGAATCAAAGAGCTGGAGATGTTAGAGACGTCTAGAGCTGGAGATGTTAGAGACGTCTAGAGCTGGAGATGTTAGAGACGTCTAGAGCTGCGGACGATAGAGACGTCTAGAGCTGGAGATGTTAGAGAGGTCTAGAGCTGGAGATGTTAGAGACGTCTAGAGCTGCCGACGATAGAGACGTCTAGAGCTGGAGATGTTAGAGACGTCTAGAGCTGGAGATGTTAGAGACGTCTAGAGCTGCCGACGTCAGAGACGTCTAGAGCTGCGGACGTCAGAGACGTCTAGAGCTGCCGACGATAGAGACGTCTAGAGCTGCAGATGTTAGACATGTCTAGAGCTGGAGATGTTAGAGACGTCTAGAGCTGGAGATGTTAGAGACGTCTAGAGCTGCTGACGATAGAGACGTCTAGAGCTGGAGATGTTAGAGAGGTCTAGAGCTGCCGACGATAGAGACGTCTAGAGCTGGAGACGTCAGAGACGTCTAGAGCTGGAGATGTTAGAGACGTCTAGAGCTGCGGACGATAGAGACGTCTAGAGCTGAGGACGTCAGAGACGTCTAGAGCTGCCGACGATAGAGACGTCTAGAGCTGCAGATGTTAGACATGTCTAGAGCTGCAGATGTTAGATATGCTTAGAGCTGCAGATGTTAGAGAGGTCTAGAGCTGCAGATGTTAGAGAGGTCTAGATCTGCAGATGTTAGAGAGGTCTAGATCTGCCGACGATAGAGATGTCTAGAGCTGCCGACGATAGAGATGTCTAGAGCTGGAGATGTTAGAGACGTCTAGAGCTGCCGACGATAGAGATGTCTAGAGCTGGAGATGTTAGAGACGTCTAGAGCTGCCGACGACAGAGACGTGTAGAGCTGGAGACGTCAGAGACGTCTAGAGCTGCCGACGATAGAGACGTCTAGAGCTGCCGACGATAGAGACGTCTAGAGCTGCCGACGATAGAGATGTCTAGAGCTGGAGATGTTAGAGAGGTCTAGAGCTGGAGATGTTAGAGATGTCTAGAGCTGGAGATGTTAGAGACGTCTAGAGCTGCCGACGATAGAGACGTCTAGAGCTGGAGATGTTAGAGAGGTCTAGAGCTGCCGACGATAGAGACGTCTAGAGCTGGAGACGTCAGAGACGTCTAGAGCTGGAGATGTTAGAGACGTCTAGAGCTGCGGACGATAGAGACGTCTAGAGCTGCCGACGTCAGAGACGTCTAGAGCTGCCGACGTCAGAGACGTCTAGAGCTGCCGACGTCAGAGACGTCTAGAGCTGCCGACGTCAGAGACGTCTAGAGCTGCCGACGATAGAGACGTCTAGAGCTGCCGACGATAGAGACGTCTAGAGCTGCCGACGATAGAGACGTCTAGAGCTGCAGATGTTAGAGAGGTCTAGAGCTGCAGATGTTAGACATGTCTAGAGCTGCAGATGTTAGATATGCTTAGAGCTGCAGATGTTAGAGAGGTCTAGAGCTGCAGATGTTAGAGAGGTCTAGATCTGCAGATGTTAGAGACGTCTAGAGCTGCCGACGATAGAGACGTCTAGAGCTGCCGACGATAGAGATGTCTAGAGCTGGAGATGTTAGAGACGTCTAGAGCTGCTGACGATAGAGACGTCTAGAGCTGGAGATGTTAGAGACGTCTAGAGCTGCCGACGATAGAGACGTCTAGAGCTGCCGACGATAGAGACGTCTAGAGCTGCCGACGATAGAGACGTGTAGAGCTGGAGACGTCAGAGACGTCTAGAGCTGGAGATGTTAGAGACGTCTAGAGCTGCGGACGATAGAGAGGTCTAGAGCTGGAGATGTTAGAGAGGTCTAGAGCTGCAGATGTTAGAGAGGTCTAGAGCTGGAGATGTTAGAGACGTCTAGAGCTGCGGACGATAGAGAGGTCTAGAGCTGGAGATGTTAGAGAGGTCTAGAGCTGGAGATGTTAGAGAGGTCTAGAGCTGCAGATGTTAGAGAGGTCTAGAGCTGCAGATGTTAGACATGTCTAGAGCTGCAGATGTTAGATATGCTTAGAGCTGCAGATGTTAGAGACGTCTAGAGCTGCCGACGATAGAGAGGTCTAGAGCTGCAGATGTTAGACATGTCTAGAGCTGCAGATGTTAGAGAGGTCTAGATCTGCAGATGTTAGAGAGGTCTAGAGCTGCAGATGTTAGAACAAGCATCATCAAACCAGTTGACGTCACAGAGATCTGGATCAGAAGCAGCAGTGTTATGTTCTGGATGTTCTGGAACCTTCTTCTGCCACTGGTAGCAGCTTCCAGAGCCCACAGAACAGAACCATCTCCAGAAGGTCTGAGGTCCATCAGAGAGACAAACCCCCCCTCAGAGGAACATCAGAACCAACAGAAACGGAGACCTTCTCCAGGGTTTCCTCCAAAGGTTGGCAGGAAGCATCTCTGCCCTCAGTAACCCTCTGACCACAATCCAATCCAGCTGCAAACATCTGGCCAGCCCCTCAGTGACAGCTGCCCCCCTCCCCTCCTGCTAAACTACTAGCAAACAAGGCTCTTAGCTGACGCTGACTTTCCACTTAGTAAACTCTGAGCAAACTCTTCCTCCGACCCAGCGGCCATCTTGGTTCCAGACAGACACTAACTTACCGGCGCTGAGCTGCAGAGAAGCGGAGAAAATCCTCGGAGCGGGAGAAACGGAGTGAAAACAAACTGGGTCCCGTCGGTCACCACAGACTGTCCTCCATTATTGCTGCCGCGCATGCGCACTACGCCTTTGTTTAGACGACGCTTTAAGAGGAGGTCCTTCCTCGGTAACCGCAGCCAATCAAACGCCCTGTACTGTTCAACCAATCAGCATTCAGTTTACCTAGCTGCATTGATAATAAACAGAGTCTAATGAGGATCTGGGATGTCACTTGAGAAAATACATTTTTGCTCATTATATTGTATAAACGTGATAGTTATATTGTATAAACGTGATAATTATATTGTATAAACGTTATAACTTATATACTTTATTCAGTAGTAACCGCGAGAGTTATTTAAGATGAAAATGTTTTTGCTCTAAGTAGGTTTTTGAAGGAAGTGGAGAGAGGATGGCTGAACAGATTCCTTCCAAAGCGCAGCGCATCAGAGTCACTGTCTGTCACACATGAAGGTGGGGCTCCAATTAAATGTTTGATTGAACATGAGAACTATCCTGACATCCTTATCCAGGTTATCGTGGGACGTTTTCACTCACTGCATGTCTTCTCCTCAGCAGCACAATGGCGAGTTTACCGGAGTTGATCAAGTTTTACTTTATTGGCGGTCTAAGACAGGAGAGATCCCGATGCTGCTGCACACTGGAGGAGATCAGTATTAGCATGAACACATTGAGAAGAATCCTCCACAGAATGGGACTCTATGGAAGAAAACATCAATTAGATCTTCTAGATGCAGAGGCCTTCCTCGTTGACCAGCTGGAGAGATACCTGCACGGATATACGTTTCACCGCCTTAAATGTGTTCAACATGGATATGCTGGGACTCAGAATACAGTGAGACATCTGTTATCATTTCTGGACCCAAGGGGTCCAGAACGAAGGCAGAGGAGGAGGCTGATGCGGCGCGTATTCATTCTGGACCTCATTTCTTCCACGAAGCTGAAGTTGACTTCCGATTGCAGCTTCTGCCTCAGGAAATGAATAAAGGGCGATTCCACATTAATCTTCTGTCATGATCTGGCCTGTTTGTTCCTCCCTAATTAGTAATTCCTTTCACCTGCCGTTTTCCCTTTCTGCCTCAATTATAATTTATTCCTCTCACCTGTTTCCTCTGGTTTATATTCAGTTCAGCCTGAGCATTCAGTGCCAGATCATTGCTTGTCTTTCTGTCAGTCTTTCTGTTCAGTTTTATTTGGTTCATGTCCTGGATCCTAGCTGCCAGTGGAAAGAGGGTTTTTGTATTTGTCTTGTCTCCTGATCGTCCACTGTTCCTCCCCCGCGGAGTCCTCTGGGTTTTTGGCTCAATATTGGGGGGGAGGTTCAGTTTTTATCCAGTAAGCCTGGCTCCAGGGAGGAGACCAGTTTAAAGTCCTGCTTCAAGTTCCGGTTCCTACGTCCTGTCTCAGCTACCCTCTTCCACTGAGCCTGCCTGTCTGCACCTGATCCTGTCTGCTCCTGTGCGTGACCACCTGGTCATGTTTCTAGTCCCACTCAGACTCTGAACCCTCCTGGAAGCCTGTGGGTGCCTGGAAGTCTGGATCCACCTGTTCCTTCCTGATCTGGATCCTGCCTGTTTCTGTCTGTTCCTGTCTGTTCTGGACCCGAGACCAGGACCAGCTTCCAGCATCACCTCTGGGACTGCAGCCCTGGGGACACTCGTGGTCCGGACTGTTAAACCAGAGTGTCTGAGATTGTTTCATCTCTGATGCATCACCTGATATCATGCTTCCTACAATTTATTGTTCTCTTTTTTTAGGTATTAACTTTTGCTCTTCTTTGACACAGAAAGTACTTCTGTATAAGTACTTCTTTTCAGTGTTGCTTAATTGGCTTAAACCCCCAGTTGGTGGTGATAGATGGCTGCTGACACTGAGCCAGGTTTTGTGGGAAGTTTGCTCTATGTCGTCTCTACAAGCCTTCTTGTGTAAAAGGTTTGATGGACAACCTGAATACAAATGCTTATTATCCACTGTGGATCCTTGTTGAAGAAAGAGTAAATGCTGCATGTCAACTTAGAGATGCTATCTGCTGGGTTAACTCAGATTTAAAAAAAATGCATGGAACGAGTTTATACAATAATCTGAACTTTATTGTCTTTTTGATTGATTCTATCAATTCAAATATTACTGGGTTTAATTGACTTTTTTCAAATGCTTTGACATGTGTTTTAATTTTGTACTATATTGATAAAGATCAAATAAATGAGAAATGTTGGTTTTAATACAGACATACATGTCTTATATCTTTCTTGTATAGTCTAATAATTTTAACAAGGTTTTTTTTGGGGGAACACTGTAGTTTGATGTTTTTAAAGGGTCCGTAAAAAAACATTTTAAATGATGAAGTATTTAGCAGAATTAGGCTTCAGTCATGTTAAGATCTTTGTTGTGGTTTTCCCTTTCAAAAGAAAATCATATATGGCAAACATGGCTTAAACTCAGAGATACAAAATCATTTTATTCAGACTGTGAACAGTTAGAAATTCATCCTAAATACCCTCTTACTATGGAGTCGATGTGACGAGTGAATTTCTCCACTGTGAGATCATTAAAGTCTATCCTATCTTATCTTACCCTCTCGCAATATTTCTTTAAGATTTTGCACGACATAACAATCCATTATTTTAGGAAGTCACTTGTATGTGTGTTGATATGCATATCTGAAGTAATCAGACTTTTGCTTACAGTTATTTGAGTAGTAAGATGTTACTGTTACAACAAATGTTTAATATTGTTAGGATCCTCAGGCTTGCCCTCCAGAGGGCGCAGAGGATCCTCTTCTGCTCTGTGTTTTTCCCTTAGGGTTGAGTTACTGTGGGGATCTGGAGATTACCCTCTGTCTCCAGCAGAGTGCGCCGTGGGTCTTCTGGAGCTGGAACCTTCCTGCACACCTGTTCCTAATCCTCTCATCAGAAGACCTCTCCTTTATAAGCTCCTGCCTGACCTTGATTCCACGCCGCAGTGTTGATCTTAGTTGGTTAGCGTCCTGAGCCTCTGTGACAGAAGAATCTTGGTTATCTCTAGAGTGAGATCAGATTCTAACTCTTCCTTGTTTCTGCCTCACAGGAATCCTGTCTCCTCGTGAAGCTTTGGATGAGCTTAACCTCCTGTCTCCTTGTGAAGCTCTGGAAGAGCAGTCCCTCTGGCAACCTGTCTCTGGCCTGCAGCTCTGGGAGAGCAGCATCACAGGAAACTAGTCTCAAGCCAGAAGCTCTAGGAGAGTCTAACCAGCTAATCTGCCCTGGTGAGCCAACCCGAAGATTCCTACGTGGATGAAGCCTGAAGACTTTTGTGTGGAGTTTCCCTAGAGGTTCCCACTTGGATTTTCCCCTGTTGTTCCCTGCTAAGAGCTGGAAGCTCAGCCTGAGAAATCCTTCGTGTTTTCCCCTGATGTTCTCTGCTGTGAGCTGGAAGCTCAAACCCAGGACTGCCAGGCTAAGCCTGAAGCTAAATGCTTAGCTTCACATGAACTCAGCTACCAGCCATCTCCCGTTCCCCGTACAGACCCCTGTGAACCAGCCCCCTGCCTGAACTGTTCCAGTTATTATCCATGTGCTTATGTCATTAAATAAACTCTTTGGACTTTTACCAGTGTCTCCGTGAGTGTTCTGCATCTTGGGCTAAACTCTAAGAAAACCCATTCGTTTTGCATGTCTGTTTTCTTGGGGGGCGGGCGGGCCTGCTGGGTGGGGGTCCTGCTGGCGGCGCGCCGCTGGTGTGTGGGGGTCCGGGCGGCTCCGGCGGGGGTGGTGTTGGAGGGCCGGTCTGGGCGGGCTGGCTGCGCTGGCTGGGTATTCGGGTGGGTTTTCCCTCTTGGAGGCATGGCGGAGCTGCTCTGTTCCCGCTGATCACGGCGGGTGGGGCTGCGGGGCGGGTGGGGGCTTGGAGTGGCTATGGCCGGCGCGTGTTGGGGGGCCGGGGCGGCGGAGCTGCTCTGGCCGCGTGTCAGGGCCTGGTGCGGGCGGCGGGGAGGGGCGGCGGACGTGGCTGTGCTGCTTTGGCTTCGTCCGGTGGGGGGGCGCCGTGGTTCGCTCCGCTCTGGCTTTGTGCTGCTCCTCGGGCTGCTGGGGGGGGGGTGGTTGCGCCGGCTACGGTCTGCTCTTCTTGCGGTTTTGCGCCGGGCGGCTTTTCTGCTCTCGGGCTGATTCTGTGCGCGGTGTGTTTCGTTGCGCGCTGTTGGCAGCGGCCTTGGTGGGGTGGGGCTGCGCTTTTGGCCGGGGGGGGGCGTTTTGGGGGGGTCCGCGGGCGGGGCCGCCTGAGTGTTTTTCCTGGGTGGTGCGATCGCGGTGGGTGTTGCGGCCGGTCGCCGGGGCTTGGTGCTGGGGGGCAGGGCGTGTTTCGGTGCTCTGTGGGGCTGGGGCGTTTCGGTCGGTGCTGTGGGGGGGCCGGTGTTCGGTGCCCGGCCCTACTTCGGGGTGGCCGGCTGCCGGCGGGGCCCGCGGACTCCCCGGGGCGCCGGCATGGCGGTGGCTGGGGGGCTTCTTCGTGGCTGTCTCTCCTCCTCCCTCGGTGGGGGTCTGATTTCCGGGGCTGGCCCCGCCTTGGTGCCTTCGCTTCTAGGGTCCCCTTGGGCGCCTGGGGCTTTGGGTCTCCCGGCGCTGGACTCAGTGCTCTGGGGGGTGTGCCTCTCCGGCTCTCCACAACCACTATTGAGCATTTTTCATATGGATAAACTTTACATGCACAAGTTCACCCTCACAAACAACTACAGGTGCTAGGCTTCAGGTACTCAGAGATTCACTTCCAAACAGAAACCCCACATTCATACACTATATTGCCAAAAGTATTTGCTCACCCATCCAAATTATTGGAATCAGGTGTTCCAATCACTTCCATGGCCACAGGTGTATAAATTCAAGCACCTAGGCATGCAGACTGTTTTTACAAACATTTGTGAAAGAATGGGTCGCTCTCAGGAGCTCAGTGAATTCCAGCGTGGAACTGTGATAGGATGCCACCTGTGCAACAAATCCAGTCGTGAAATTTCCTCGCTCCTAAATATTCCACAGTCAACTGTCAGCTGTATTATAAGAAAATGGAAGTGTTTGGGAACGACAGCAACT